GTGGAGAAGAAAATGATCCATTTGCTATTTCTAAAAGTTTGGGAGAAGCCTTTATCGTCAATATTTTTATTTCTGTTGCAATGTTGCTTAACCAATTTTCAGGAATTCTATTTTCAGGTAGTTGCAAACCTTCAATTTCTAATTCAACACTCTAAAATACAAATAAATAAATTATTTGAATAAATAAGTTGGGATTTATTTACACATGGTGTATCTAATAATTGAAGTCCTTTGTTGATTTCAGCTTCAAGATTAACGTCAGATTCATGACTACATACTAACTTACATGATTTTTCCTTATAACAAATATCCGATCTTATAAAACGTTTATAATTTAGAATCTCATGATGGTTTGGGTTTGGAATAGTTGAATTAGTTTCGGGTGAATTACAAACTTGAATGATCAAAATTGCAAAAATTACTAAGAAACAAATCATACCAACTAAATATGCAATTCGTTTATCCCACCTTGCATAAAAATGTTGACAGGTTTTAAATCTAGATCTTAAAAAATAAATAAATAACTTATTTTCTTAGAAATATGTATCAACTTACTTTTTATTCGGTTCAATTTGATTATGAGCTTTTTTCTCCATTACTATAAACGATACAAAACTTAAACACTTTCTGCGAATGTTCGTTGATTATTGTACGCGATTATTTCAAGTATTAACTCAGATAATGTAATTTTGGAAATCGCCGATAAAAAGCGAACGCGCATATGGTGTCTGTTTTAATATCTAACGAAAATTGTTAACACTAATTATTATCAATCGATTTAACGCAATTATGACTTTTGTTATTCACCAATGTCATAACACATCTGAAAAAAACGAAATCCATAAAAGAAGTTCATTCCAGAAATTATGAAAAATGAAATATTTTTTATTATGCCTTAAAAACGCAATATAGAAGTTGAACTGAACATATTAAGTTAAATGCCACATGTCTATTATTTTTGAGCTAAAGATGGCAACCAGTAATAATTTGATATGTTGTATTCAAAGAACGAAGAATTTCGAAACACCACAGCATAAATTCTGTCTGAAAATATTGGGTACAGAAAAGAAAAGCAAAAGATTTACCTGAGAAGTGGATGAGCAACTTTTTCTGGGTATTTCCAAGCTCGTATAGAGGAGGAGGATTATTATTATTATTATTGCTGCCGGGCTGAGGGGAGCGATATATAAGATCTATTGTAACTTTAGCCCTCCAAAGGTTTAGGGTAAATGTAAGTCCTTGATGAACCTTAGTATTGCCCTGACATCTTGAACCTTTAGGTCGGTAGGTATCAAGAGAGTTTTACCGAAAATGTTGTGCAGGTCTTCTAAGCCTTTTTGCAGAAAAATAGGCAGAATTCCATCTCCCCCGGGGGTTTTCAGTTTTTTTCTTTGTTGGGTGCAAAAATGTTCCTATGCTGCGAACCCTACCTGATGGACGAGTTATGTCCATTACTTCAGGGTCGGCATCTGCGTGGGGGCAGACTTTTGAGGAAGGGAAGTGTGTACTCAGTAGGAGCTCCAACGATTCTTTAGCATTTGTCTTGTTTGCATAGGTAGCCTAGATCAGTGTTGTGATCAATATATAGTTTTGTTGACTTTAATTTCGAAAAAAAATGCGAAACAAGATACTGTTATAAGAAAAGCAATATCCGCAGAAGAAAAATTGGTCGTTACACTAAGGTATTTGGCAACAGTATGTTCTTATGAAGATCTTAAGTTTAGAATAGGAATTTCACCTCAAGCATGTATGATGCACTGAAAAGAGTTATTAAAAAGGTAAGTAAAAAGCATAATATTGTAACTCGTAAATTTATTTATATATTTATATATGTTTACATATTGAATGTATGAAGTTGGTTATAATAGGTTTGAAGCTGTGCCGTAGGAAAGTTTATTGCACAATAGATTTGCAGTTTTCCTTGTGCACCGTAAAACATGATGTCCGACCATAATTTTTCCGCTATTAATCTTTATTGATCCTCCAACTTCTTTAATTGAAAAGCAAATTTTTTGCCGGTTACAGTAAATTCATCATCGACGTTTTCGTTAATGGCTAAAGCTTTTTCAGCAGCGCTATAAAGAGCCATCTTTCTTTCATTGAAACTATTTATATTTGTGTGCGATTTTCTAGAAATACTATAATAAGGTCTTTTTCGTGAAAATGGTTTTGGTTTCAATATTGGGGTTGTACTTTCAGAAAGAGGGGATGTTCTGCTTTGTGTTATAATACCAAGCTGCCTATCTGCGGATTCTTCAACACTAGCAGGTGTATAGGGTGAAAGTAAAGAGTTTTAAGTATCTTCATTGTGCAAGTTATTCTGAAATTTAAAAAAAAAAGCAGGGTAATAGCAATTCATTATTATAAATTAGGGCTAAATGGTTATAAATTGTTGTTCTTATTGATTAAACTTATAACTAATATTACTTTGAGGTGCCATCAATAGAAGCAGAGTGGAAAGAAGTCAGCAGTGGATTCCAGAATCTTTGGCAATTTAATAATTGCTTGGACTCAATAGACGGAAAACATATAAATATAACAAAACCAGCCGGCAGTGGATCATATTTCTACAACTATAAAGGAACACAGAGTGTTGTACTATTGCTATAGTTAATGCAAATGCAAACGAGTATTTACAAAAATTTACTCGCTAAAAAGCTAAACATACCAAATTTCCAGGAACTGAAGAAATTATACCATATGTTTTCATTGGAGACACATCACAAAAAACATATCGTATGATGAAAAAATATTTAATTATCGTTTATGTAGAGCTCGTAGAGTTGCAGAAAATGTTTTTGGAATTCTAGCTTCGATTTTCCCTTTCTTCCTAATTCACTTTCAGCAGTAAAAAGTAATAGATCGTAATACCAAAGAAAGGGTTCATAAATATCATCAGCCCCGCATCCTGTACGTTTAGAATCCTCAACCTAAAGCAAATAATTTTGTTAATCTATTTATTTGTAATATTATAATGTATCTTACCTTTTTTACTTCACGCCTGAAAGATGTTTAATATTTTTTTCATAATTTCGACCGTTGATTCTGGGACCTATTCCTTAAATTTCTTAAATAAAATATTATAACCTTCATTTCTTTTTATCTTATTGGAATAATCTTTAGATTTATTAAACAGAGCTTATTTCAAATACATTTCGACCAAACGCGATTCTAAGCAGAGATGAGATGGTTTGAAACATTTGCAAATTAATTCTATGACTCATAATAACAGTCAATTACCCACACAGTTGCGGAATCCTGATGGCATAAATAGTTTTTTTGTTCATAGCGTTTAAGATATCCTTGACGATATTACGTAGGGCGAGACTGATGATTGCTATGAAGAGTTTGCAACTTTCACTTCCAATGTATTTTCATTTCGTACGGTTACCACGTCTGAGGTTATGGAAGTGATTTCAGTGATAAGCTCTTCTTCAATGGGGACTGACTTGTTTGGTATTAGTATGCTTCGGATGTGTTGCCCTGTTATTTTGCCGTATTTGACACACATTTTAAATTCGTTTTGGTTGAAAATATTTGTAATGATCAATGAAAATGGGCTGTTGGGCTTCCATTACCAAAGAAAAAGAATCAAGTTGATTATGGGGACTTGCGTCCGATCAGTATTTTGCCAACTATGTCTAAAATCTTGGAAAAAGTAATGAAAAATCAATTAATCCCTTATATTGAACAGAACTACTTGTTACCAGTTCAGCAATCTGGTTTTCGTGCTGATCATAGTGGCACTACAGCTATGCTAAGACTCACTGATGATGTTTTGGATGCAGCTGACAAAGGTATGTTAAAATTATTATATAAATCCATTTTCATCGATATTATTAAGGTAAATTGAATAAATATTACTTTCTATTTTAGGAATTGGAATTCCAATTCCTCTCCAACCATATTAACGTTGTAAGTAATATATAAGTTTAGTATTTACAAAAAAAAACCTAACATATCCTAACAACCTTCAAAATTTGATTTCTTTAATTTGAAATTTGTTATTTTGTTAGAAACCTTCTGATGATGGCCTAATAAGCCGAAACATGTAAAGGAAATATTTAAATTAATACATCGATTAACAGTAAAATAGAAAGTAATATTTATTCAATTTACATCGACAAAGGTATGCTTACAGCGGTGATACTCCTGGATTTTTTTAAGGCATTTAACACTATTGATCATACATTGCTCTGTCGTATAATGAGGTTGTTGGGACTGGGTCGTGGTGAAGTGGCACTAATACAAATCTACTTAACAGGTAGAACACAAAAGGTAGGAGTTGGTGATCGGAAATTGCAAGAAGTTATTGTTGGCTCAGGTGTTCCGCAGGGTTCCACTTCTCTTTACACTCTATACTTCTAGTTTCACGTTTGAACCGTTTGAACTTGCTTCCAACACGACCGTTGATACGATATTTTTAGGAAGCTCCGTACTGCGAACAATTCGACCACTGCGTACTGCAAAGCATACGATTTGCCTACACACGCTACGATTTATCATAAGGAGTCTTCTGGCCATTCTGGCATTGTTTGGGTTAAGATTTAAAAATGTTACATAACTACGGAGAGTGGTTTTATCTCCACTAAAAACTGGTATCAGGTTCTGATCTACCGGTTTTATCTCCATGTTTAATTGTTCTTCAACTTCACGTAAGGCAATTAATATGTCTTCGCAATTTAGGTTCTCAATTTTGGATGTAGGGTTTTACACTGGGATCACAGAGTTAAATCGATAGGTACTTACAGTATGATTGTTGCTGTTGTTTTCATTTGGTTCATTAATCCAGGGATTTTTCAATTATAAGATTATCCCGGACTGGTCGATCTTCTGGCTGGTTCGGATAGTCCTCAAAGGATTAAAATCCACCGTTCACTCGCGCCGTTTTTAATTCATAAATATCCGTAGTAACGATCCTACTGTTGCGACACTTTCGATTTTAGAAAGATTGTGTTTCTTTTTAAAAAATAAGATTTTTATTATTCACTTAAAAACAATTGGTTTTACAAAATTCTGTATTTAATTGATTAATTATAAGTTTTAAAGAATATAAAATTAATGTTATAATAACTAAGACGTAAGTTCGCTCCTTTTATATGTTTCTGGTTAACTTGTCTATTTTCCAGGAATCCATTCGTTTATTCTTCGGGTTGGTGAAATACCTTTTGTTGATGACACTTCACCGTTAGGACAAAAATCCGTATCTGTAAATGAACCTTCTTCACATTCAGGAGGTGAATCTTTAAATATCTCAGGGTTTTCTAAATACATCGTTTGTAACCATTTTAAGTCGCAATTACAATCAAACCTGTTACCCTTTAAGCTAATGCTAGTATCACTTTTTATAGATATATCATCAAAAATACCTTCGGGTAATGTTGTTAAATCGTTTCCTTCTAAACTAATCACATTTAAGCGCGATAATCTTTCAAAAACTTTTACATCTAGCGATTTTAAATGATTATTTCGTAAATATAAAGCTTCAAGATTTCGAGCTTTATCGAAAACATTTGCTTCTAACTCTATAACTTTATTATCACCTAAATCTATTTTTATTAATTTTGAGAGATTTATACTATTTGTTATACGTCTAAGTGTATCAGATGATAATTCACAGTAAGTGAACTGTAACGAAGTCAGGGAATCTACGTGAGTTAAAAAATTATCTTCAACTTCAATTTCAGTAAATGAGTTCCATCCGTATTCCAACCAAAACGTTGTTAATGCTGACAAATCTTTAAACATATCTTTATAAAAATTTTTTACTCCACAACTTCTTATATTCAATGTTGAAATTCGTTTTAAATATGGAGAAGAAAAGGATCCATTTGCTATTTCTAAAAGTTTGGGAGAAGACTTTATCGTCAATATTTTTATTTCTGTTGCAATGTTGCTTAACCAATTTTCAGGAATTCTATTTTCAGGTAGTTGCAAACCTTCAATTTCTAATTCAACACTCTAAAATACAAATAAATAAATTATTTCAATAAATAAATTGGGATTTATTTACACATGGTGTATCTAATAATTGAAGTCCTTTGTTGATTTCAGCGTCAAGATTAACGTCAGATTCATGATTACATACTAACTTACATGATTTTTCCTTATAACAAATATCCGATCTTATGAAACGTTTATAATTTGGAATCTCATGTTGGTTTGGGTTTGGAATAGTTGAATTAGTTTCACAAACTTCAATGATCAAAATTGCAAAAATTACAAAGAAACAACTTGCATAGAAATTATTACAGGTTTTAAATCTAGATCTTAAAAAAAATAAATAAATAACTTATTTTCTTAGAAAATATGTATCAACTTACCGTTTATTCGGTTCAATTTGATTATGAGCTTTTTTTTCCATTGCTATAAACAATACAAAACTTAAACACTTTCTGCGAATGTTCGTTGATTATTGTACCCGATTATTTCAAGTATTAACTCAGATAAGATATGGTTTAATATCTAACGAAACTTGTTTACGATCGTTTATCAATCCATTTAACCCAATTATGACTTTTGTTATTCACAAATGTCATTACACATCAGAAAAAAGAAATCCATAAAAGAAGTTATGAAAAATGAAAAACGCAATGCCACATTTCTGCATTTTTGAGCTAATAATAATTTGATATGTCGTATTCAAAAAAGAAACGCAAAAGATTTACCTGAAAAGTTGATGAGCAACTCCACAGATTCTGGATATTTCCAAGACCTGATACAGGAGGAGGATTGGTCGATGGGTTAACAATCCAAAAAAGAATTGTTCAGAGACTTGCATGAATGGTTTCATTCGCCCGAATGAAACATTCACAAAAAAACGAATGGCGAATCAACACTAAGACATGAAAACCGCTGCAATGTAACACACGATTTGCTCAATACGCTGTAGTGTTGTTCTACAACATCAAGCAGTAGGCGTCACATACACAGTATACACAGTATGTTAGTACCGAACATACATAAACTAATGTTAAGTCGAATTTAATTAACTTAATTCTTAGTTGACTTAATTCATAACAATTTCAGATACATAATTTAGCAAAAACCAAGAGCAGTAATCCTATAGTATATCTGCAATGTAGGAAATTCAAACTTTGGAATGACTTGAAATGAAATCTCTCATGATCTTGACGTCATGACGTGTCTAGCTGTCTGACACCAAGGTCTAAAATTGTTCAAAATTATCATAATTACCAAAATTTTTCAAAAGTTTACAAAATTAAAACAATTTTAGACATTTTAGACAGTATTAGCAATATATTGATTAATTTAGGCAATTTTGGACACACTTTTAAATCATTTTGGACAACTAAACTAAAACTAGAAGTAACACTAATCGTAGAACTAGAAACATATCACATTTATGTTCATAATTTTGGACAAATTTTGTCAATTTTGTAAATGTGTAATCAAGTTTGGCTTTAAACCATTCGCATTACATGAGTCACGGGTCTACTGATGAACGAAAGAAACATAGTAGCAGCGAATCCATTAACATGATTCGAAATGTGAGCCATTCGTTGCAGGTCTCGGAGTCGATAATACAGTAACTTAAAAAAGAATACCACACAACATGATTCACAGTAACTGTTGCCGAATGAAGACAAGACTGAAACAACGAATCAGCGAATATGATTCAGTATGTAAGCCATTCGCTGCAAGTCTCTGTTTGCATATTTAGACAAAATCGCGAAGATGCGAAGTAACTGAAGTGTGAAGGCCATGTACAGATGGCCTAAGATTGAGGAAAATAATTTTAAGTGTGCTTAATAACATCTATTATCTATTATTCTTTCTTTTATTCTATTCGTAATCGTGTTTGAAGAGTCAAAAACAGCGCCTAGGTACTTGAAGTTTTTGACACCCTGAAAGCTGAAATCCTTGATATACAGGATGTCCCGTTAAGCATACGGAGCGGCTGTATCTCAACAACGGTAAGGCCTAGAGGTTTGGGAAAAAAATCCTTATAAGCAAAGTGGGCAAGAGAAATACCTGGAAATTATTTTGAAGTTCGTAATTCGACCGCTAGGGGGCGTAACTGCCACAGAGAATCATAAAATTCCCGCTATCTCAGAAAGTTAGACGATGAGCTATAACTTTGACAACATCATTTAGTAGCTTGGATAATACCGCATCGCTTTTGTTTTGCGATATTTTTCATATCTGTCATAATAAGGGAGGGGGAGGCCAATGCGTTTTCAAATGTTTACATTTTAATATCTCCTGGACCATTCAACCGATTTGAATATTTTTGGTCTTGTTTGAAAGAGCATTTCATGCTCTTTTAAAAGATATTTTCAGTAAGACCGCTTGGTTTAAAACAAATAAGCTAGAGGGCGTTATCTGCAGCGGTTACATATTTTTGTGATTTTTGAAAAAAAGTTAAATGGAACGGTACTATTTACTTCACAGACCGTTAATCACCATAAAATTTGCTAAATATTAGTGAAAACCGCATCTCGATATCTCCATCCATTCTCGAATTATAAAAGAAAATGTTAAAAATTCGTATATCTTAATCGGATCAAGTTACCTTAGGAAACAAATAAGAGAGAACAAAAATTTTATTATCTAGAACCTTCCTTCACACTTTATCCAAGCTTAGAACTGCTTCAAAACTACTTTTGAGGCGTGTTGAAAAGCCAACGGATCAATGAAACATCAACAATGATAATAAAACAAAATAAACCAAAACACTTAGAATAACTTAAATTTTTGGCAAAAATAACTCACTAATGTGCGAAATGCCTTCCATAAACCTCGATGCATTTATTTAATCTAGTTTCGACGAAAAAAAAGCGCTGCTTAAGTCTCGGCCCTGGACACGTTTCTACTGGTATTTAGTGTTTTGTCATATTTTCCCTGGTTATTGGTTTTTCTTGAAAAGTCAGGTCGTTTAGTCTACCCAATAGATAAAGGGGTGAAAGCAATGTGGGTTTTGCTCGAACCAAGAATGCATATTATGCAAGTTTACATCAGCTTGTGGACAGATGCTTCATGCATCCATAGCATTTGTGATAAAAGGTTTGGATTTGCCCAAATCATATTTAAAAGTCAATGGTAATAGTTCAGTCTGTTATCATAATCGGTATCTGTTAAGGCCTGATGTAAAACAACGTGGTGGAGATATTATTCTCTTGAGAACTCTTGTGGACAATTGTTTTCGGAGTTCCCAGATTATGTGGGATCACATTGCGCACCAATATGATTTACGAATTCATAGAGATGTCTGAATGGGCTACACGTTGCCAGTTTTCCGTAATCGCTAAGTCAATCTTAAAAACACTTCTAGAGAAAAATGTCTTTCTTTGTCGTAATTGCATTGCACATTTTTGCCATGCAGTTGCATCGTATTCGAAACATTGAAAATAAATCATCATACGCTCTATCATACGCTTCTGCGTTAGTAAATGACATGTTTACAGTTACCATGGTTATGTGATTTGTTTTTCTCGATGAGGTAACTGGATCCGATTGATGGCACTCGAGTTTTTAACATTTTCTTCTATAACTCGAGAACGGGTGGCGATATCGAGATGCGGTTTTCACTAAAATTTAGCAAATTTTAAGGTGATTAAGGGTTTGTGAAGTAAATAGTATCGTTCCATTTAACTTTTCTTCAAAAATCACAAAAATATGTAATCGCTGCAGATAACGCCCTCTAGCTCATTTGTTTTAAAGCAAACGGTTTTACTGACACGCTGTATATATTTTTGGGATTTCTTATTTTTTCATCTCTTGATACCTTCATATATTTTGTCGTTGTGTCGTTTATCATGAGACCCATTTGCTTCGTGCCTGCTTCCATCATAAATAACCTTGGCTTGATTATACTGGATATATTTGAGAACTGTTCAGATACTACCTCGATATGATACTGCGATACGTCCTCTACAAGCAACCTCAGCTTAGTTACGCCACACATCTTCGAAATCAAACCACTTTTTTATAAATAAGGCGTTTGTGCACTAATAAAAAAATACTTAAAAAAATAATTAATTTCACATAACTTTATTAACTTAAACATTAAATTTAAACATGTCAAAACTATTACATTACTTCATTCTCTCTTCTTGGAAAGATATGTCTTCGAGATGGATAAGCTGAAAGATGGAGTTCCCTCCAATGATACAATTCCTCACTTGAAATCGTCATTGGATTAATGTAAGTTATATCACTTCTTTCGCTAATTGAACCCAACGTTGATCCGACAGATGATAAAGTAGATTGCCAAGATGGTGTTGAATAGCTATCTGTCGTATCCGACGGCACAACACCTACACGTCTATCGATTATAACAACTCGTTCGTTCCCACTTATCAACGTGGGATTTAATCGTACGCACCAATATGTTGCAGTAACAACAAGAACGATTAAAACAATAATTATGATAACAAGAAATATTACAGTATGGTTTTTAAATTTGTTTATTATCCATGCTCGTTCAGAATATTCTTCACGAGTTTTAAATGCAAAACAATTCGATGGTGAAATATTATTCATTTCTTGAACTAAACAAATATTATATATTGTGTCAAAGTTTGCAGAAACAGTTTTAATCGATCCATCGCATGTGTCTATGTTAAATTCCTCTATGCTGGCATTGTTAGCATACCATATCAATTTTGTACCGACATTATATTGCTTCATTTTCATTTCTATTGTGGCATTATTAATTCCATGTAATTCACACACAATAATATCGAAATCGCTTCTAACAATGTTAATCTTTTGATCTACTGAGTTCGAACAATCTGAATTATTAAAATAAATCGTATTTGTGGTTGTTGTCGTTATTGAAGTTTCAGTTGATGTATAACTGGTGGTTTCTAAAACTTCATTAGTTGTTGTTTCTGATATGGTTTCAGTTGTTGTTTCTTCACAAAAAATTGCATCATCAAAAATTTCACCTGTATTTTTACATATTGTTCTATTATCTTTATTTATATATGAATTCTTATCATATTCAATTTTTAACCAATTTAAGTCACATGTACAATCCCAAGGATTATCATGTATATATATTTTAAGATTTGAATTATTCTCAATTTCGCTAAATATTCCTTCAGGCAAGTAGGTTAATTCATTATTGTTCAAATAAATTTGACTTATAAACAATAATTTATTAAAAACGCCAACTTCCAAATGTTTTAAATTCGCTCCCCTTAAATATAGCTGCATAAGATTAGGAGTAGATATAAAAGAATTTGCGTTTAATGATTCCAAACGTGAATATCCAAAATCAATAGTACTTAATTTAATTAAACTGACATTGGTTTTAATAAGATTTTCAATAACATTCGGTGATAATACACAACTCGTTATCTGTAATATGTTTAATGTGAGGTGTACAGGTTGTAAAAAAGTTGGTACAAAATTTGGTTCCACATTTGGGGTTCCTGTTTCAAGTCTATATGGACAAGTCAGAAAAAACGTTTCCAATGATGACAATCCATTAAGTATATTGTTGAAATATATTACGTTTGTTTTTGTTATGGTCAACGTAGAAATACTTTTCGTAAAATTCGATGAAAATGCTTCATCTTCTATTTCTGTTATGCCAATTCCTTCTAATGATAAACGTTGTAGGTTCAAGTTTAAATGGTTAAACGAATGCTTCGGAATTTTGGTTTCAATCTCAGTTATTAAATTTAATTCCGTAATTAATGTCTAAATTTAATGGAAAAATGGTCCTATGTTTAGTATAATATATGACGTAATTGATACTGATTACCGTTTCGTTCTGGATTCTTTCTAATTCTTTTTCAACATCTTGTAAATTTTCGAATCCTGCACAAGTTACTTCGGGTTTTTTTAAGTTACAATATGAGATATCTCCTGAAAATAATTTTTTAAAGACTATTTTTAAACAATTTTCAGCACTGTTCTCCATTTCTAAAGTTTTATATGTAGCTAAACAGATTATTATTAAGAAAAAGATTGCTCCAACTGTAGCTGCAACTGATTTATCCCATATTCTGTATCTTTCTTTAAACGATTTTGCCCTAAATTTAAACAATTTGTATGAAAAACATATTTTTAAATATATAAGTACCTTTTAAATTTTTCCATTTTCTTTTGAAGAAAGGTTCCGTTTTTTAAATCTTCACGTTTTCGTACAAACATTTTCAAAATGACTGTAAAAGTTGAAAATATTTAGGAATCACGTTTATTTAAACTAAACTTACCTGTAACTTTGACTTGCTTGTAGTGTACAAATATGTCGAAACAATATTGCACGAAAAGAAGTTGGATAATGTAGATAATCTACATTATTAATGAAAATAACGATATAAATAAACGAAATTAAAAAAAAATGGTACTGATAATTTTTGCATAAATCTTTATTTCTGACACATATATGCAATATAAACAATATGATATATTGCATTTGTGTTTTTCATTAAAAATCAGATTTAATAAAAGCATTGTTAGTATTAATAAAACTTTTGTATTGTTTAAAATAACCGCCATTTTAACCATACCATTACCGACATCTAGCGGTAAAATCTACTCAAACCCAAATTTTTATTATTAATATTTTAATAATGATTAATATCAAAATTTTTTAATTATTAAAACAATTATTTATTTTAACAATCTCATTTAAAATATCCAACTTAATCTAAGAATTGAAATTCATCACTAACGTCAAATTATTTTTCCCGCGCAAACATCAAAACTGTCAGATGATTTTGATAACCTTATTTTAAATTTAGTGTTAACAGTTTTATGTATTTATTTGTCCGTTGAATTAATTTCAGTTATTGTGTAACATTCCAATTAGTTCTTTAAAAAGTAAGTTAACAAATTGTAAAAATTAATCAACTTGTTTTAAGTTTTCAATTGTATTTCGATATTTTGAGGTTATGTTTTTGTTTTTTTAGGTTAATGTGTGAATCCAATTAAACTATTTTAAGTTTGTTTTAATCTAATAAATTATGAGTCCAATAAATGATTGCGACGATTACGAGGATGATTTGAACGTGAAGAAAAAACAGTGTACATCACATGAAAAGAAACGCAAAAACATTGAAAAAGTAGATATTCCAAAAGATGAAGTTAAAATGGCTCGATGTGATACCTGCAAGCAATATTTAGACGCGATTATCCCATACGGTGGACATCCAAACAACGCGGCTGATGAATATGTAGCTTTAACTGATGAAAAATTAATGATTTTTACTGGTGAAGAAGAAGAAGTCAATGAACAAGATAGTTGGCCTACAAATAATGTAACAAAATCACATTATTACAAACGCTGTTTTTGTATACATGTTTTATCTTGTTTAGATAACTTATTTTGCGGTTTATGATTCACATGGACATCTATGTCCTTTCGATACTGGTTTAATTCAACAAAATAAACACTTATATTTTTCTGGATATTTAAAGCCAATTTATGATGATAATCCATTACCAGATGATGGAATTCCTGTTAAAGATGCAGGTCCAATTAATGAATGGTAAATAAATAGTTTTAGCAGCTTTGTTTATCAGAATGAAGTGGGTTTTATTAATTATTATATTTATTTTACTTTGTTAAGCCGTCATTGGTTGTATGACAAATTTGTATTTGGAAAATATTTTTGTGTTTTATTAATCTTAATTTTTATGAAAAACAATATGCAACTTTATTACATGTTTATACATTCTAGAATTTATATAATGACATTCAATAACTGGATTATTTAGATATGTTGCAGAACAATTTATTGTTTAGAGCAAATTCGCCCCTTACTTTCACTGCTTTTAAAGTTTCCATGTTGGCATGATCCAAGAGTTTGATCAAAACCTCTCACAATAGTGTATTTAAAGCTTCCACCCCATAATTTTTATTCATGAACAATATTATTTGTTAAATCCTTATTAGAATATACATTTTGAGTAATTAATTCAAGCCACAAATCATAATTAGCAATCCACATTGCAAATTTGTAAAAGATTTAGTCAGATTATCAAATTCATTTAATAGATTGTTGTGAGATGATTTAAGAAATATTGGCTGATTTTTCTTCTCATCTCATTTATTACAGTATTATGTAGAATCTTTATCTTTATAGAAGACTGGAAGAACACCATTTTTTGTTTCATTGCACCAATTTCGCAAAATAGGCCACTAAGAACATAGTGAGAGAATAATAAGCAATTTAATGGGGTTTATGATCTGCAAATGAAACAATTCTACTTGTTTACAACTTAATCAATCTGTATTACAAAAATCTCTACATCCTATCCAATCTGTTTGACTTAATTCTTAAACAATTAGAATCTTGTAAGGGATATATATGCTGCATATTGTGCAGCAGTCGCGCGAAGTGTGGACACATCTTAAGAGTGTTTTTAACGTTAGTGCATAATATTCTAACTAAAACTGTCCAAAACATATTGTTCATTTTTCTGCAATCAAGTATAAAATAAAATAATTCTGTGGACATTCATTCAAGGAACAAACTTACTATTGAATTATGCAATTGATTTTTCTAATACCTTAAAATTATGCATCAATGTATCAAAAAATTTAGTACATTGTTATTGTTGAAATGTAACAGACGCTACAGACAAAGGTATTTGTTTCGTGGGGTAACATTAAGTAATGTTTTGGTGTGCATAAGATTATTTATTAGTTAAAAAGTTGTTGCATTCCAATACATATTTTTTTATCACCTTTATTACTGTAATCTATCGCATATAATCATATAATAACAATAAACAGTATGTTGAAATGAAACACAGGCTCACACAGAAGGAACCCACTCAATAGTGGGCCCAAAAACAATACTTAATTAAAGGTTATATTATATAACAAATACTACTTTACAGGTGTTACTGTAAGTCGTGGCATAATTTTAATCACAAATACTAGAGTTAAAATGATGATTTGTGTAAACATTTTTGGTCTTAACTAGTGGTGGAATAGGCATAGGACTTTTTTCATTGAATATAACATTATTTATCATTAGCAATCCCAATACGATATATAAAATCTCTTGTTGCAGTTTCGTCTAGTTTTCTTCTCTTCGCTTATAATTTATCATCACATTCATTACTAACAGAACTGTCGCTGTTATCACTTTCGATTATTAATTAAAGTACCCTCTTTTTAATGCAACAAGCCGTTTTGAAAAATCTCTTTTAGTTCTTGAGAAATAAATTTTTAAAATTATCGACAATTTTTTCGAATTTTACAATTTCCGCCGTGTAAGTTTCAAAAATTCGTATAAAATCCATTTCTTGGAATATGTGTATGAAAATTTCCCAAAGTGTTAATAAAAGTGCCCTCTTTCCAATGAACCAACCCGTTTTGAAAAATAACTTTTAGTTTTTGAGAAAACAATACTTGAAGTATTGATAAAATTTTCGATGTTGCAATTTTCATCGATAATATTCAAAATTCGCTATAAAATTAATTTCTTGAAGGATCCTTATGGAAATATTACCAATAAATGATTAAACTGTCCTCTTTTTAATGCAGCAAGCCGTTTTGAATAATCGCTTTTAGTTTTTGAGAAATAAATTTTTGAAATGATCGACAATTTTTTCGAATTTTGCAATTTTCGCTGAGTAAGCTTTAAAAATTCGTATAAAATCCATTTCTTGGAATATGGGTATGAAAATTTCCCAAAGTATTAATAAAAGTGTCCTCTTTCCAATGAACCAAAAATAATTTTTAGTTTTTGAGAAAACAACCTTTGAAGTATTGATAAAATTTTTGATGTTGCAATTTTCATCGATAATATTCAAAATTCGCTATAAAATTAATTTCTTGAAGGATTCTTGTGGAAATATCACCAATTATTGATTAAAGTATCCTCTTTTAGAGTTGCTTTGTTAGTTAAATCAGCATCAAAAAAGTTCATTTTGTATCTTGGATTCAAATGAGTTGACGTATCTTATCAGCTTTCTTATCACTTCAGAAATACACCAGAAATTATAACTATAACGACCGGACATCCGGCGGAAGGTGATGCCGAATATCCGACTTTTCGCAAAATCACTATCCGTTCCATCACTAGTCTAAACTCATAAACGGTTAAGATATGGGCTTTCAAAGTTAAGAAATTTTTAAACATTTTCTTAAATATTTTCTTTATGTTTTATCTTAGAAAAGTAAAACTTGGTAAACAATTTTATCAAGAAAAATCGCTTAAGATCACTTTTGAAAATACGCAACCATGGGATCAATGCAATACAGATGATCACAAAGATTATATCCTTAAAACTTTTTTATTATGTCATAATCCTTTAAATTTTACAATTGATTCTAAAAGCCTATTTCATTTTAAAATTATTTTAACTCTTAGAAATTTTTGTTTAGACGCATCGTTTTCGAGTTATTCGCAAAAAGATAGAACCTCGATTATGAAATGTTTTCATTAATTAAAACTTAGTAGGCGCCCATGAAAATAAATCGCACGTAAAGCAATATGTCATATTAATGGTCATATCTTAAGCATTTATGGGTTTAGACCAAACATTTTTACACGACTCGTGATTTGTGATTAAAAAATATTCCACGACTTACAGAAACAACCTGTATAGTATCGTAATTTGCAAATGGATAGCAGTTTAACAGATTCCTCATCCCATTAAGGATAGGTCTTATAGATCCTTTCGTTCCAATCTTTTAGTAGTAGTCAGGTGCGAAAGGTCTTTTGCAAGTTTGTTTTGGTGTACTTCAAACCTTAACAGGTACTTAGATCTTCGCTGGGAAATTCCTTCTTTTACATTAAGCATATTTAAATGTTGAAGTACATATTTATTTGTTTTTTACATATTTGTCAGAGAGCTTTAGATTTAAATTATTGTATCTGTAAGATATTTGATTAGCTGGCAGTTCCTCATAACTGAATTCCATATTCTCAAACAGGTTTCAGTATGACGTTATACAGGCTGTTCCACCTAAGCGGCAAAGTACATAAATGGCATTAAGAATCCGAGATACACAGTTCTTCTTTAGACAAAAGTTGTAGGAAAATATTTTTATACATACAGGATGTTGCATAACGACGTATCGAAATAAAGATGTTATTTTAAATGGAATGATATAGTTTTTATTGCGTGGTCTGATTCTACACACCAAAATATGTTGATTTTGATAAGATATGTTGACACTTACCGCTTTTAGTTTTTGAGTTATTTTAATTAGAAGCTTTTTTTAGCAATTAACACTGTGTTCTTTAAATCAGGATTTCTTAGCGACTGATGGAGCTAGAAAGTTAAAATTTGTGACAGTTGCTGCTTGGATTTCCTTAAATAGAGTGTCATTGGCTACATTGGTCTATCTTATACAGGGTGTTCAAAAATATAACTACTGTTTTACCATATTTAATTGCAAAAAAATCGAAAATTTTAAATGGAACACCCCATTATTTGATTAGCTTATCAGATAGAGAATTTAATTCTCTACAAATCTTGAGTACATGTCCCTATACCTATCTGTTGCAGTTTTTGAGACATAGCGGAATTAATCAAAATCAAGCAAAGAATGCAGATTTTATTTATTTTTTGTCTACACGTCTAAGAAAACAACTGTACAATACTTTTTGGCTTCCAAACCATCTTTAGCTGATCTGACTACTCTGTGCACTTGGTCGATCGTACAATGTAGTTTCCTAAATTGAAATTATTAGTGAGGGATTAGTTTTCTATCTATTATGAGTTCTGAAGTTTTTTGAATAAGAGTTTTTTAAATACTTTTGAAAGCAATGGTACTTATTGCACGGTAAGGTGTCATGTCATTTATGTTTTTGTTCGGTTTCAACACCATGGCATATGTTTTAAGGATGATATCGTAAGAGTTAAAGAAATACTTTGTTAAAGTACATGATTCACTTTCATCTTTATCAAGTGGTTAAAACTTTAATTCTCATTAAATAGTTTATTTCACCCTCTCTTATATAAATATCTTATATATCTCCTATAAATTTACATACAATTTCTATGTTAAACATTCTGTTATTCTTTTGAAAGGTATATTTGGGGATTTGATGGTGGTAAAAACTCAATAATCGGATTTTCAACCAGTTTCGGAGAATACAATCTCATGACACCATCGCCAGCGTATCAACAATTTATGACTGAGGTCAATCAAAAAATGGCCTTGACGAAATTAGTTATAGAATTTTTAATGGACGAAGGTTGGCAGTCACCAACTTACGAAGATCTCCTTCAAAGATTATCCACTACCGAAGATCTAAACGAAGAGATTTTGTTACAACACGCTCAATTTGTTTGTGATCATGTAATCTCTTCATTTATTATATCTTCTTAAAAAAATATTCAAAATGTTTTTTTTTTAGGTGGTTAGTTTTGATTCTTCCGCAGATAACGACGCAGAGGATCTGTTAATAACCACTCCTTGTATGCGAGCTTTGGTAAAAATAGCTGGAGTTACATTTCAAAAATCTAAAAAAAATCCTAAAGCAAGTAGTCGAAAGGTAAATCACTTAAAAAATTAAGTGTTAGTCCATCATTTAATGAGTCAATCTAACTTTTTGTTAAAAAGATTTCTAAAGCGATTACTGACCAAATAAAGAATAACAAGAAGCCATCTCGAAGTAAAGCCACAACAACAGCGTTAGTTAGAGACGTTTTCGAAACGTTTTTTGCCGAACAAATTGATAAAGGAACGGGTGAAAAGGGGCCTAGGAAGAAACGTTGTGGTATTTGCGAAGCTTGCCAAAGTTCTGATTGTGGGAAATGCGTTTTTTGTCGTTCCATGTTGAAATTTGGCGGATCTGGGAAGAGTAAACAAGCTTGTAAAACTAGACGGTAAATTTTCTTAAAATTATCTTCCATTAATAATTATAATATTTATTCTTTAATGAAGTTGCCCTAATATGGCAATTCAAGACGCTGCTGCAGAATCAGAGAATGAAGATGATGACATAGACGAAGATACTGTTGAAGATACAAAAGTAAAGAATATAATAGAAGAAAAACCATGTTCAAAACGGATTTTGCATAAAGTGGAGTGGCGCGGCGAGATATCATTTGAAAATAATGATAGGGTTTATTATGAAGAAGCACAAGTTGGTTAGTGCTTTTCACTCTTATTAATTTAGATCAAATAATTTAATAAATTAAAATTTAGGTGATACAATTGTCAAACCGGATGATTTTGTAATGTTGAACCATTCGAAACCAAACGAACCACTTCTTATCGCACAAATATCATATATGTGGAAAGATAAGCGAGGGTTTGGAGCTGCCACATTCCACGCTCATATCTTTACACGAGGCGTAAAAACGGTCCTCGGCGAAACATCCGATCCTCGTGAACTCTTTGATGTCGATATGTGCGAAAATTTACCGCTTGGTAGTATCGTTCGTAAAGCTTTCGTTGAACGAAGATTTCCTCCGGTAAATTGGTTCGAATTGGGTGGTATTGAAAGGTTGCCACCAATTTTAGAAGACGACGGACAAAATTATTTTTATTCGAAAAGATACGACGCGACATGCGGGAGATTTGAGGACTTAATTGAAGATGATGACGAGAATATTGATGATGATGAAAAGGATTTTAGTCCTTGTTCAGCTTGTAGGTTAGTAATATCAAGGAAATATTAATTAAAGATTGTTTTTTGATGCTTTTTTTGTAAAGGAGGAAAATGATTATGTTGAAAACAACGAAACCTTGCTACAAAGAAGGTTATATCTCTTGGTTTGGGGAGAATTATAAAATTGGAACCGGTGTTTATCTAATTCCAGAAACTTATGATTTTGATTCTGATTCAGAAGAGAATTCAAATTCACCTAAGGTAAGGGGGGCTTAAGGAGACAGGGTTTGTCTGATTTAAATAACTTGATTTAAAACAATCAATTTTTTATATTAATCAATAATTTAAATCAAAAGAAAAATGAAAATAAAAATATTCTTTATTTAAAAATTAGTAAATTAGGCGTCTAAAAACTAAGACAAACAAATAAAAACAATACTTAGAAATTATAAAGTTTATTGAAGCTGAAGAACAAGCAGCACATAAAAATTGTTTTAAAGTTTTCTCAATATCAGGAATATTGATCAAAATATGATTGATTAAAATCAAAATATGCTGTTTAAGTATGAAAATATGCTCTATAAAAAATTGAAATTAAATATTAAAGTATGGATAGCTTTTAAATCTGTAGGTGAGGTTAAACAAAGTAAATAAATGATAATGATATCTACTTCTATACACGAGATATTTATTAGTTTAACTTATAAAAAAACTAAAACAGAATTAGAAAATATTGAAGAAAACACAAAAGATAAATAGAAAGAAATAGAAAATGAAACAGAAACAGATTTAGCTTAAATTTTGATTACAATAAATGACAAATATCTCACTTAAATTATCAAAAAGGCAACTTTGTTGATAAAACATTCTTAAAAAACTTCGTTCCACTTCCACTGAAGTTATAGGTGCAAATTGAAATGCTAGTGCTTCACTGAGGTTGTTTCTGTGGATCCTTTACTCAAACGTGTAGAAATTTCTTTCAAAATAGAAAAACCATGATTTTTTAAATACTCATAGCCATTTTTTTCTTTACTAACTTAGCAGCTTCACTGTTTATGCCATTAATTAAGTCCTGAGCTTGTGTTACTACATCAACCTCATTTTATAGTATTGTCATTTAGTAGGTCCTTTGAAATTTTGATTAACATAGCGTCCTCTTTATCTAATACATCAAACACATTCCCAATTATTTCGAAGTTAGTGGCATAGTAGTCTGCCGCTTCAATCCATGTTCCGCAGCGAGTAGTTACTGATTCTGGAGGAAGAGGAAAAATTGCTATTCTTGACGGCGCTTTTAAGCATACTTTTTTCGCATTGGCGATAAGCTGGTCGACGTGAATGTACACGGTGGTTCAAATTCGATGTCCGAATAGGATATCTCGGAAACTATAAGAGTTAGAAAAAAGTAGCTTACATGTCTCGATCTCTTTTTTTAAATAAATTCCAATGTCGAAAACCTCAAAGCGCTATCATCTTTTGTTTTTCCCCTAGAGGTCAAAATTGAAAATATCGAAAAACCAGCAAGTGCAATTATCTTGGTAATTATTATTATAGGTGAAGTATTATAACTAAGACGAAATAATACAATCTATTCCAACTTTTGTGTAAAACAAATATAAATTAAATAGTTCAACAAATGTATTTGTTTCAAATATCAGAAATATGCTTTTTAATTTTTAGTTATAATTTGCAGGAAAATTGTCATGATATCTCAAAATCTGAAACTGAAAAATTTTTTTTGACTTGTCATGAAATTCTCTGTAAAAAAGTGTCCATATAATGTCTTAGTTATAATACTCCACCTATAGTAATAACCAAGCTAATTGCACTTGCTGGTTTTACGATATTTTCAATTTTGGCCTCTAGGGGAAAAACAAAAGACTAGCGCTTTGAGGTTTTCGGCATTAGCAGTTTCTCGAAAAACGAGATCATGACATGTAAGCTACCTTTTTTCTAACTCTTATAGTTTCCGAGTTAGCCTATTCGAACATCGAATTTGAACCATCCTGTACATACCTCGCATTTGCTCACAAACTCGATGAAGGCCGTGTGCAAAACAAGTTGAGTGTGTCACTTTTGGATAAAACGTTTGGTCTGCGCTGCTTTTACTATGTAGAGAGCAGCATCTGATACAAGGAGTAAAATCATGTCTCTGTTAATAGTCTCACCCAAGATCTTTATAGAATCATCGAAAAGCCTTGCAATAGTGCTATGATTCGCTTTATCAAGCATTAAACAANAATCTTAAAAAACTTCGTTCCACTTCCACTGAAGTTATAGGTGCAAATTGAAATGCTAGTGCTTCACTGAGGTTGTTTCTGTGGATCCTTTACTCAAACATGTAAACATTTCTTTCAAAATAGAAAAACCATAATTTTTTGAAATACTCATAGTAATTTTTTTCTTTACTAACTTAGCAGCTTCACTATTTATGCCATTAATTAAGTCCTGAGCTTGTGTCACTACATCAACCTCATTTTATTGTATTGTCATTTAGTAGGTCCTTTGAAATTTTGATTGACATAGCGTCCTCTTCATCTAATGCATCAAACACAGTAGTCTGCCGCTTCAATACATGTTCCGCAGCGAGTAGTTACTGATTCTGGAGGAAGAGCAAGACAAGGCGCTATTTCGTTAAAAATTGCTACTCTTGACGTCGCTTTTAAACATACTTTTTTCACATTGGCGATAAGCTGGTCGACGTGAGTGTACAGGCTGGTTCAAATTCGATGTCCGTATATTTCTGATAGAAGCATATTTCTGATATTTGAAACAAATAAATTTGTTGAACTATTTAATTTATATTTGTTTTACACAAAAGTTGGAATAGAATGCATTATTTCGTCTTAGTTATAATACTCCACCTTTAATAATAACCAAGGTAATTGCACTTGCTGGTTTTACGATATTTTCAATTTTGGCCTCTAGGGGAAAAACAAAAGACGATAGCGCTTTGAGGTTTTCGACACTAGCAGTTTCTCGAAAAACGAGATCATGACATGTAAGCTACTTTTTTTCTAATTTTTATAGTTTCCGAGTTAGCCTATTCGAACATCGAATTTGAACCACCCTGTACAGGGTGTCCCGTTAAGCGTACGGAGCGGCTGTATCTCAACAACGGTAAGGCTTAGAGGTTTGGGAAAAAAATCTTTATAAGCAAAGTGGGCAAGAGAAATAGCTGGAAATTATTTTCACATTTCATGCTCTTTTAAAAGATATTTTCAGTAAGACCGCTTGGTTTAAAACAAATAAGCTAGAGGGCGTTATCTGCAGCGGTTACATATTTTTGTGATTTTTGAAAAAAAGTTAAATGGAACGGTACTATTTACTTCACAGACCGTTAATCACCATAAAATTTGCTAAATATTAGTGAAATCCGCATCTCAATATCTCCATCCATTCTCAAATTATAAAAGAAAATGTTAAAAATTCGTATATCTTAATCGGATCAAGTTACCTTAGGAAATAAATAAGAGATAACAAAAATTTTATTATCTAGAACCTTCCTTCATACTTTATCCAAGCTTAGAACTGCTTCAAAACTACTTTTGAGGCGTGTTGAAAAGCCAACGGATCAATGANGTAACGTTTGGTCTGCGCTGCTTTTACTATGTAGAGAGCAGCATCTGATACAAGGAGTAAAATCATGTCTCTGTTAATAGTCTCACCCAAGATCTTTATAGAATCATCGAAAAGCCTTGCAATAGTGCTATGATTCGCTTTATCAAGCATGAAACAAAAATTGTTGTTTAGCGATCAACTCATCATGATCCGAAATACCAATAATGAAATTTGCCATATATCTTTCTGTTGCGTCTGTTGTTTCGTCGATTGAAATCCACAAAAAGCGGTCGCTTCTTGATGCATTTCTATACAGGTGTTTCGGTGACTCGGGGAACAAATTTAACCATATATACTAGAGTGAAAATGATGACGATTCATGTAAAAAAAAATTAGTAAAAGTCTTCGAATTTCAAAGATACAGGCCATAAAAGTTAGGAAATTTTAACACATTTTTCCAAATATCTTAAACACTATTTACAGTAAAGCGTTGAAATTTGATACAGTGTAAATCAATGTCATGTAAAATCGTTAGGCAATTTATGAATTGGATCGGTCATCGGGAACAATGCTATACAGGATGTTCCTAAAGTTTGTTTGTTCAGAACTTTTTTATTCTATCATAACCGTACATTTATGTTTGCAGTTTCTAATAGCAAATTTAATTTAGAAACTTTTATTACTCTTAGATAATATTGATAAAAGTCACCGTTTTCGTGTTAAATGCAAAAATGTTGGGTTCGGATTTCATTAGTAGCACTAAAAAAAAGGAAATCTAAGTTTTTGAACATTTCCTTTAGTATTTTTTATTACTTGCCTTGTTATTTTATGTATGTTTTTATTTATTGTTTTCGAATTCTTTTATTAAACCAACTAAAACAAATTAAAAATGTGATTTAGCTAAATCTACACTTGGACATGTTGCATACATAATAGTTATGACAGCTCAGTTCGATTTTCACTCGTCATTGCCAATTCAGATTAATTATTTATTTCTTTTTTTTTAGTGTTATTGAATTCGGAGCCTAACATTTTTGCATTTAATACGAAAACGGTGGTTTTTATCAATATTCTCTAAAAGTGATAAAAGATTCTAAACTAAATTTACTATTAGAAATTGCAAAAATAAATGTAGGGTTATAATAGAATAAAAAAGTTCTGAGCAAACAAATTTTAGGGACTCCCTGTATAGCATGGTTGCCGCCGCCCGATCAAAGTCAAAATTGGTTCAATGATTTTGCTTGATATTTGTTTACCCTGTACCAAATTTCAACGCTTTACCATAAATGGTGTTTAAGATATTTAGAAAAATGTGTTAAAATTTCATAACTTTGATGACCTGTATCTTGGCAATTTGAGGACTTTTACTAATTTTTTTTACATGAATAGGTTACATTTGTTCCCCGAGTCACCGAAACACCCTGTATATATTTTGTGCGAAGGTTATTTTCCGATGGTACTTTATACTCTGTGTATGATTCTAGGAATGTTGCGCATTTTATATAGAGGTATATCAGAAATTAATGCGCTACATCTTCTGCAAATTGAACATCTTTTGATTTGGATGTGGAACATTCAGCCTGAATAATTTTCTTCTCATTATTTCTTTTCTCCAGTTCCATGTGTTTTAAACTTGCGAGACGCTGTTTAACCGACAATATTTTCTCAGCTGACAGATTTGTTGCACACTTTGCAAAAAAGTACCAAAACTGTATTTACACACTTTATTTTTTCTTCCTCATAAATTTTTTCTAAGAGTCTTGTGGAAATTGTGTTCCTTGAAGAGGGATTGTAACCAGGTCTTAGCAATACCTACTTTTGCGATTTTCTTGTCAATTTTTTCTTTTTTATCTGCATTTGTTCGAAAATCTTTTTTCCTGTTTTTCCTTTCTCTCTTTACACCACCTTTTACATAATTCCTCATATCTTCATAATATTGCCAATGATTCGTCGATTTTTAGTACTCAAAATCTTTTCCAAGCCTTATCACGAGTTTTCTGGATTTCTTTTATTGTGTCGGTTGCACTTCTCAGGGTCCTTTAATCTTTTTGCTAGCCCTTCCATAACTTTTTTTACAAATAGCTCGACTACCGCTCTTTCCTAATTCTTTTTTTTTTCTATGTAATAGTTCCATATAATATCTTTTTTTTGGTTGCACTCATTTTTAATCGTCCGACTGACTTATGAGTATGGAAGAACTGAATAAGAGCTATTACGCACCTACGTTTTTGTCTCTCAGCGATCAAATCTTAGGCAACTGTCTTGGTTTCTGTAGGTTTCTGTAGGTTTCTCAGGAGACCAAGCCATGCGACTGAATTTAGATAGTAGTGTTTCTTGTACATCCGTACAGAGTAGACGTCGAAAAAGTTGCAATATTGCGCACAAAAATGGCTGAGGCTTTGGAAAAAACTACTTAGTACATAAATTAAGTCACTTGACTTAGTCTCTAACCATAGGCAACAAACTATGTTTTAGTCTGAAACGAAAGCAGATCAAGATCTTTACACTGAATACTATCGAAAAACATCCGATTTTGTTAAAAAAGGCAACAGCGACACACCTCAACCCTTTTGTATAGGAGTAATTGAAAATATCATCGAAAATTCAAATGCTAAAGATATTAAAGTAGAAGTAAGAAAATTTTATCGACCGGAAAATACACATCGTGGAATATTTGTAACATATCAAGAAGATCTTAATTATTTATATTGGAGTGAAGAAAGTAAATATTTAAAATTATTATTTTTAACTTAAATTTATTTAATTTTATTTTTGCACACAGAAATTATTGTTTCATTTGATAATATTGCTGGAAAATGTTATTTAACTTATGGTGATAGCTTAGAAATACCCGTTGCAGAATGGAGTAGTTTAGGTCCAGATCGATTCTATTTTAATAAAATGTATGACAAATTTTCCCATAAAATACTTGATTTACCTGAAAAAGTAATCGAAACCCAAACGTTACGAAATATGCCTAAAAAAGGAAAAGGAAAGAATAAATCCAAAAAAGTAAACTCTCAAAATAAATGTATAGATGACGAACTTCCAAAAATTTGGCCGAAAATATCGAAGCCATTACAATGTATGGATGTTTTTGCCGGGTGTGGAGGTTTATCTTTAGGTTTACATCAATCGGGAATTGCACTTACAAAATGGGCTATTGAGAAGGAAATTGAACCCGCTCAAGCGTTTAAATTGAATAATCCAGATGCTTTAGTTTTCACCGAAGACTGTAATGAGTTATTAAAAGGAGTTTTTGACCAAACTGAATATGCAAAGAGAATGCCCAAAAAAGGTGATGTTGAAATGCTCGTTGGGGGACCACCTTGTCAAGGTTTTTCTGGCATGAATAGGTTTAATGCTGGACAATATTCAAGATTTAAGAATTCTTTGGTTGTATCATATTTAAGTTATTGTGATTATTACAGGTAAAAATTAATTATTATTCTTATAGCTTAATAATTGTCTTGAAATATTTTCCAGACCAAAATATTTTATCTTAGAAAACGTTCGAAATTTCGTAAGTCATAACCGTAGTATGGTTTTAAAATTAACATTACGTTGTTTGGTGGCGATGGGTTATCAAGTAACTTTTGGCATAGTACAAGCTGGACATTACGGGGTTCCTCAAACGCGAAGACGTTTAATAATCATGGCTGCAGCTCCAGGATATGTTTTACCAAAGTACCCCGAACCAAGACATGTTTTTAATAAGAGGGGTTGTTTGCTTTCGATCGCCGTTGATAACCAAAGATTTGTTAATGGTTGTCAATTTACGTCTTCTGCTCCGTATCGAATGACAACAGTTCGCGATGCAATGTCCGACCTTCCAGATATAAAAAATGGATGGAACCAAAAAGAAATTCAATATGATGCAGAACCGATGTCTCATTTTCAAAAATTAATGAGAAAGGGCGAAGGTGATTTGGTTCGGGATCATATTTGTAAAGAAATGACTCCTTTAGTAGAGGCGAGAATGACTTATATTCCATTAGCACCAGGATCAGATTGGAGAGATTTACCAAATATAGAAGTTAGATTAAGTGATGGAAATTACACGAAAAAGTTAAGATATCCTTATAGGTAAATATTTAAAGTATTATACTTTACATACATCTTTTAAGTTTAATTTTTTTAGAATTAAAAAACAATCCAAAGACGAACCTAATAAAGGTGTATGCCAATGCACAACCGGAAAAGGAATAAGATGCGATCCAGCTGATAAACAATCTGATACGTTAATTCCATGGTGTTTACCCCATACAGGTGATAGGCACAATCATTGGGCGGGACTTTATGGGAGGTTAGAATGGGATGGATTCTTTAGTACAACAGTTACAAATCCAGAACCAATGGGAAAACAAGGAAAAGGTGAATAAAAAATATATTTTTATTTTTCTTTTCAACATTTTTTTTATTTAGTGTTACATCCTGATCAACATAGAGTAGTTAGTGTAAGGGAATGTGCGCGAAGTCAGGGATTCCCAGACAGATACCAATTTGTTGGTTCCGTACTAAAAAAACATAGACAAATTGGAAATGCGGTACCGCCACCTTTGGGTGCGGCACTTGGAAGTGAAATATTAAAAGCGCTGGATGCGAGAGATAAGAAAAAAGTGTCTTAACTGTAACAGTTATTTTAATTGTTTTTAAATTATATAATATATATTGTTTTTTTATCTTAATTCCTTAATGATGTGTTCAATAAATGACTAAATTTGTACAGAATAATTCAAATTTTTAGCCTTCAGCACGCCTTAATGCCTCCATACCATATTAAAAGGATAATAATTATTGCATGGTAAATCAAAACGTTTTATTAAAAATAATTTTGTGTTGAGATATTTTACTGTATCTAGACTTTTCTAACATTCTACAATCCAGTAGCTGAAATATTTTCCAGTCCTAAGAATATATAAGCAGTGCCTATAAATATTTTACATAAATAATCTTGATAATTTAGATTTATTTATCTAGATCTTCCTTTTACATTTACAAAAAGAGTGAAATAAGAATAAGACGAGCTTAAAACCTGAAAATAAAAAAAAATGTTAAATGCCCAACATATTAGTAATTTTTTTTTCTGATTTCTAGTAACATTTTCAATAGCAAGATAAAATATAACGCATTTGAACAGCATAGAGACTTTTATGGTTCGATTTAAAAATGGCACTAAATTCAAGGTTTTCTTTTGAATTTCACTATGAGTATGTTCCCTCTCATGACAATGATAGTGTGTCGCAGCCCTATTACTCTTGAAGCTGTTTTCAATATTGTGAGGGAGATGCGTAATATGAGTGCAAGCCACGATACTTTGGTAGACTCGGTCCAGTTTTGCTGCCAAAGGGTCTCTGGTTTCGAGGTATCCATGAAGGAAGTGCAGGAGCAGCTGAAGATGATCGATAGGCTGAATGCCGAGAATGCTTTTCTGAAGAAGCCAGTTACTGAGCTATCGGAACGCGTGGCGTATTTAGAGCAATATTCCCGCTGCAGCAACCTTGAGATCCGAGGCGTTTCTGAGAACTTTATTGCGATGGTCGAGACTATGGGTACCTCCCTTGACGTTCCGATTTCGACTGTTGATGTGGATGCTGTCCATCGCGTTCCTCACGGTCTAAACGGTAATGGTCATCAGTCGTCGAAGTGCTCCAAAGGCTGTTGTTGTGCGTTTCTGCAGTCGTCTTGTGCGTGATAAATTTCTTGCTGCTGCGAAATTAAAGAAGAAGTCGGTGGTTGCTGGGTCCTCCCCAGAACTCTCGTCCAGGGTGTTACTGATTGTTGCTTTATTAATGAACATTTAACGCCAGCCAACAAAATCCTTTTTGGTAAAGCCAAAGAAAAATCTTATAAGTATGTTTGGACCAGGAATTGCCAGATCTTCGTCAGGAAGAGTAATGACGCACGCCCTATCCACATTCAAAGTGATGCCGATGTGAGCAGGATGTAGACAGGTCTATTGTCATGCAAGTATTATGTACCATGTATAATTTACAATGTCTGCCATTACATTTTATTACCAAAAATGTACGCGGCCTTAGAACTAAGTTGGATACATTATCCAATAACGTGTTAAACTCTGATCACGACGTTATTTTCTGACGGAGACTTGGCTGCATCCTGGGATATATTCGGCAGAGGTTTTTCCGGATTCGTACATGTTATATATAATAACGCATTTAATAATTTGTTGGGTAGAGGCGTTTTGTTCGGCGTATCTTCGGCGTACTCAGTAATCCGACGTTTCGATTGGTTTGTCGGGCTGGATGCTATTGGCATAACAATGCGTAGTGGCAGTTCATTGATTCATGTTTGTTGTGTTTATATTCCGCCTTTGAATAACGTAGCGTTATATTAGCTTTCGTAATTTTTCGTAACAGCTGCTATAATTTTGTGTTAATTTTCTTTTATCATTTTTATTTTTATATCGATATCTCCTAAACAAAGAGGAATAGGTGATATACCATTTTTTGTTCGTAATGATCCCCTGAATATATGGTATGAGTTTGTCGGTCGAGTCACGGAACACCTGTATATAACCGGTCGATTCGATCTGGAGTTTTTCCACGTGTTTGGAAGGAGGCTCATGTAATCTTTAAATCCGGAAATTCCCCGGACAGAGCTATAAGTTTTGAACGAGTGAAGAACAAAATTTGAGAATCACTAAAGAGTCATAAAAGCTACATTCTTAGATAGTTTAGAACTTCCATGCAATGTGGAGTTTTTTAGGGGATGACCACCCCTACATTTTTAAATAGCAACCCCTGTAGAGTTTTACCTTATTTTAAAGGTAATGAAAAAAGAAACACAACCCCATAAACCAAAACCCGATATCTTAATTCTTTCAAGAATTATGAGGGGTTGACTACCGAATGGGAAAACAAAATGTTTTCATGCTTTTTTGCACTTTTATTACGATTTTTATAACAAATGTTCAAATTGTCAACCTTCTTCGGTCTCGCAATAACCCAAACGCTCATAGATTTGAACCACCAGGAGCTATCCTAAGTGATATTGGTGGTTCTTCAAGTATGCGATTTTCCAAATCATTGATTGATTCTGGTTTTGTTGCATACACTCTACTTTTCAAAAATCTCCAAAAGAAAAAAATCTAGTGGTGTTAGATCAGGAAATCGTGGTGGCCACTCAATGTCACCTCTACTGCTAATCCAATGGTTTGGAAACGTACGGCTTAAAAAGTCTCGGACTGCGCGACTAAAATGTGGGAGGACTACCATCTTGTTAGAACCACTTATTGTCAATACCATTAGGACAGACGGCACGTACACTTGGAACCACTTGATTTTCTAACAGATGCAGGTATCTGTCTCCGTCCAAATTTCCATTAATAAAAAATGGACCAATTACATTCTCTTCCATAATACCAGCCCGTACATTAATTTTCTGCGGTCTTTGAGTATGACCTTCTCTTATTAAACGTGCATTTTCGTCACTCCAATAACGACAGTTGTGCCTATTAACCTTACCATTCAAGTAAAAAGTAGCCTTATCAGAGAAAACAACGTTCAAAAGAAAATGTCTGTCAACATCACATTTTTCACGTACTATTTCACAGATTTCAAACCTTCTTTCGAAGTCACCTACGTTCAATTGCCATTTTCCTATTTGGTAGTCAACCCCTCATAATTCTTGAAAGAATTAAGATATCGGGATTTGGTTTATGGTGTTGTGTTTCTTTTTCCATTGCCTTTAAAATAAGGTAAAACTCGATAGGGGTTGCTATTTAAAAATGTAGGGGTGGTCGTCCCCTAAAAAAACTCTACATCGTATGGAAATTCTAAGTTTTCTAAAAATGTAGTTTTTATGATTCATTAGTGATCCCTAAATTTTCAAATTTTTTCCTTCACTCGCTCAAAACTTATAGCTGCGTCCCGGGAGTTTTGGGAAACCCTATATTTTAAACTCTATGGATGATTCCTTTCAGGTTGACTCCATTTATACTGATTTTAGTAAGACTTTCGATCGAGTGGATCATGCTCTGCTTCTTTCAAAACTTCGTATGTTTGATATTGACGAACATCTTGTGCGTTTGTTTGCCTCCTATACACGTGGAAGAACTCTAAAGGTGGATATCAATGGTCAGCATGATTCTTATTTCCGGTGTACCGCAAAGGAGTCACTTAGGTAGGACCTCTTCTATTTATTATTTATATCAAAATTAATTGCTTAATTGCTTGATGTATGCTGATGATTTAAAAATTTTTACACGTGTCTCTTCACCTTTGGATTGTTCGAGGCTACAGCGCGCCATTGATGCGCTACGTATTTATTACAGCTCAAATTTCCTGACACTGAACCCTGAAAAATGTAATGTTGTTTCTTTTACAAGGAAGACAGGCACGATCAGATACGATTATAACCTAGGTGATGTCAAACTAACGTTTGAGGGCCACGTTGATGGAGCTGCTTCTAAGGCTTGGCGTATGCTTGGCTTCGTTATGAGAATCACGCAAAATTTTACAAATATTTATGCTATAAGAACATTGTATTTTGCGTATGTGCATAGCGTTTTAAGCTTCTGCAGCTCCGTTTGGAATCCCCAATATCAAACATATATATCCAGAATTGAAAGGATTCAAAAGAAATTACTAAAGTATTTATGTTTTAAAAGTAACATCGCTTACATTGATCAGCCTGTGCCTCCTCAACTTCTTATCGCTCCGTCAGTGTCGTTCATGTGGTGATGCTTTAACATTCCATAAAATCATTAATGGTAGTATTGAGTTTCCTAGCCTTCTTGAGGTCGTCAATTTTCGTGTTCCTCCCCGGTGTCTTCAGCTCGATTATTTATTTTACATTCCTACTCCACGTACGAATATCTTTCAGAACTCTCGCTCTGCTCGTTTAAACGTTTGATAATTGTAATTAAAGCTGATCATAATAATTAACTTATGTAAGTAAATTCTATATATTTTGATCGATATATTTTATTCTGTTGTTATCTTTGAGGCACGGCGCCTAGGGTTCGTCCCGTTTTCGTGCTCAACTGTATGCATTAAATAAATAAATAGCTTTGAAAATGACTATGGTAATGGTAGTTATCCTCAGAAAGAACAAACGTATAAATAATAGTTTTTTTAGAATCATAAATTCATAAAAACCGCTAATAACTACTTCTGCTAGCAATTAGTAAAGTAACCTAATGCATCTCGCCTTAACTAAAGAATCTAAATAATCACTTACTTTTAAAAATGTTATTTTCGATAGATTTCCCAAATTTAATGCGTTCAAAGTTAAAGGTTTTTGTCCTCTAACCATTATTAACGAGATATCTCTTTGAATCTCTACAGGGCATTCGTACCAATTAGTGTTATAAGCTGCAGCTGAGATTTCAAGACTCTGAAACCATCAAAATAAATAAATAAAACAAAACAAATATAAATAAATTACCTCATCTAATACATACTGCCCGTTCAAACATATCGTGTACAACAAGATAAACCATCCTGATAAATGCATAGAATATCGCATAGATTCAAACAAATCTTGTTCCATAAGAATTTCAAATCCCAAAACGCTTATTACCAATGATGTTAATGTAACGTATACCACAAGTTGACTTCCAAAAGCTCGATTTATATCATCTATAAAACTTAAATGCAGTATAATTTTACTTATACTAATTTTATTTATAATAAACTTACTTAATAATTTCGTGGTGGTATTTAACGCAAAATTTCAATTTATCCTTCATTATGAATTTATCATTTTCAGAAATATTTAAAACATCCTCTTTTAATTGTTTCAATTGTATAACGGCGTGTCTTAATAAACCGGAAATTAAAACGGTCGAATTAACAATGACCAAACTTGCCATTCCGGCCGTTAAAAATTGATGTATTACATAAAAGTGAAAAACTGGCCACGAATCGTATCGAAAGGGTAATCGAAATCGGACAATAACACCACAAGGAATACCTAAGTTTTTCATGTAAAACGGTTTGTTCTTCTCACATTTACTTAAATTTAAGGTGGGTGCTGTTACATAAATTAACATCCCCAAAATGGTGTAAATCATGAAAGCCTTCGAGAAAAAAGATATTTTTTTATCGCTTTCAATTAAATTATTATTTGTTGTGTTGGATATTTTAGTAAATTTTTGAAAATTTCCGATTGAATTGATGATTACTTTTATGGTTTTTCGATTAGATAAGAAGCACACTGTCATGTACATACTTCCGGCAACGCAAACGGCAGCTAATATCACTTGAAAAATTATTACGATATCCGCTTCAGGTTCTATAAAAGAACATATTAATATTTTAAATGTATCTTGAATGAACTAACCAGTAAAAACAAAAATGACTTCTAGAAATAACGGAATTAAACTGGGGAGTAAGAAAATATAAATCGAATATGTTTTCCAACTTCTCCATTTCAACTCATCTAAATTTCCATCATCCAACCAAAGGTTTAACATTTTTAACACTTTTACGTTAAAACTCATAAATTGATGTGCTTCTTCTTTGTCATTAACAATCATTTTTTTGGGTGCTGAATAACGAGTTTAATGAAACTATTTTAAGGTGATTTAAGTACCTTCAAGAAATACCATCCAAATTAAATATTCTCTTTATTTCTATCGAATTTAAGTAGACGTGGATAATTGCATTTCAATGTCTTGACAGGTTAATACGAGGTTACAAGATATTGATAAACATCTTTCCATTTCCAAATACTTAAAGATCAAAAATTTCATGTTGATTAATTTTGTGTGCTCCATTTATTTTTAGAAAGGTACAGATTAAAATATTGTGAATCTAAAAATTTGGTGAAGGTTTTAAATTATTCTCGTAATAATGTGAAACAAGAATAAGATAGCCGAACAACCTTAAAAATGATTAATAATATAAGATTAGGCTTTTTGGTTTTATTTTTAATTTATACCATTCCTATAAGTTGTAGCGAAAGAGGGGTGAATTTTCCTACTGTTATATAAACTGGTTCGTTTAAACGTAAAAGATTCATGAAGATCATTCTTCGGAATAGCGGTGATGATGCGTACCAAGGAGTGTCATATAAAGACACCGGAATTTCTGAAAACTAATTCGAAATGTATTAAAAATTTTATTTACAATAATTTAAATGTGTTTATTTTATGTTTTGTTAAGTTATCCCGTTAAGATATCCGGTTATCCGGCATAAACTTCAAATATTGTTTTCTCAAAAACTAAAAGTTATTTTTCAAAACGGGTTGGCTCATTGGAAAGAGGACACTTTTATTTACACTTTGGGTAATTTCCATGCTCATATTCCCAGAAATGGATTTTATACGAATTTTTAAACTTAATCGGCCGAAAATTGGAAATTTCGACAAAAATGGTGTATTATTTCAAAAATTTATTTCTCCAGAACTAAAAGTGATTTTTCAAAACGGCTTGTTGCATTAAAAAGAGAATACTTTAATTAATAATTGGTGATATTTCCACAAAGATGCTTCAAGAAATTAATTTTATAGCGAATTTTGAAAATTATCGATGAAAATTGCAAGATCGAAAATTTTATCAAAAGTTAAAATATTATGCGATTTAACGAGCTCAACAAAAACATACAAAAACAAGTACAACAATATTGAACGGAGAAATATATGGAAGCCTGCGACAAAATCAATTAATGTAAGGGGAAAAATTATTGGCAGAAAGTTCGTAAACTGTCTAGATACCAAAAGTTTTCTGAAACAAAAGAGCTCACTGATCCCCCTGATGGAACTGCGCATTCGAACCCTGAAAAGATTGTTAACATCCATGCTGACTACCTGGAAGAAATATTTTCGTTTGCTGAGGATGCCTCATTTTGATCCCAGAACAAAAGCTCAGTAGACAACTGGTATCAACTTGCTTTTATAAATCCCTCTGAAACACCTGAGGATGCTTTTATGCTGGAGGACGAGTATTTCACTCTTCTTGGCCAAGAAAAGAACACGGCTCCTGGTTATAATAATAATAATAATATTCCTTTATTACCCAACAGGCATAGCCCAAAAAAGGATAACAATATATATTACATAATGTAATAATACAATAATATGTATCTGTATGTGAGAAAAAAAAAATTACAAAAAATTCAAGAAATTAACAATTGACCGAATTATAAAGAAAATAAAAATAAAAACTAAATAAGTGAATTTTCATGTATAAGTGAATTTACATGCAGGTGATCACTGATTGTCTGGAATCCTGTTGCCCACTTTACAAAGAGTGTATGTTGGCGCCCGTCTCATAATGTTTGTCCTAGCATAAGGAATGACGAATACGCAGCTATATCTTGAGTTACTCCTTGGAACAACAACCCCTAGTCGCTCAAGAATGAAAGGGCAATCGATGTTATATTCGATAAGCCTTTGTAGAAACCTTTCATAAAACGCGTTTCTTCTATCCATCAAGGAAATCATATTGTGTCGTGCAAGCAAATCATTTTGTGGTATACCTCGCTCAGGATAAATTCCATCAGATTTGTAAGAAAGAAATTTTAAGAATCTACGATGGACTCGATCAAGGCTTAACAACTCACATGCATATAAGGGACTCCAAATCAGGCAAGCGTATTCTAACTTACTCAGAACGTAAGCACAATACAAGGTCTTTAATAAGCTGACACTTGTGAAATATTTAGACATACGCATCACAAAATCTAGGGACCTCCGAAAGGCCTCCGAACACACATTATTGATATGTTTTTTAAAATTAAGACTTGCATCAAACAGGACCCCCAAATCCCTGTACTCCTCAACACGACTTAAAGTGCTGCCAGCAATATTGTAAGGATATATGCATGGTGACGAGCATCAGCTATAAGTAAGTACACAACATTTATCTATATTGAGGTTAAGTTTGTAGGTCTTACACCATTGCACTATTGTGTTTAAGTTGTGCTGCAGCTTATCTGCATCTGCCATCGATGAGACTTCGGCATAGATATTGATAGCATCAGCATATCCCAACATCCGACAATCAATTTTTAGAAGTAAGTCATTTATGAAAAGAACAAATAATAGAGGGCCCAAATTTGATCCCTGTGGAACCCCTGAGGTAAGAGTGAACTCATTAGAAAAATATCCATTGTAAGCAACATAACATTTTCTATGTTGCAAATAAGAGGCCAGAAGTTGAATTGCTGAAGGAACAAATCCGAAAGAGCTCAATTTATACAAGAGAATTCTATGGTCAATCAGATCAAAGGCTTTGGATAGATCAGTGTATACAACATCCACCTGCCCACGTCTATCCAAGGTGCTACAGATAAACTCGGAAATCGTAGCCAAGTTGGTAACTGTAGAGCGACCGGAAACAAAACCATGCTGGGAAGCTGACACAAAGGGGCACGTGCTGGTGTACATAAAAGAATATAATAACTTTTCAAATAGTTTAGCAAAATTGGAAATTATCGAAATTGGTCTATAGTTTGAGAGGGACGTACGATCATCCTTTTTATAAACAGGCACAATTCTTGATCGTTTCCATCTTTCAGGAAATTCACAGGACGTAATGGACAAGTTAATAATAAATTTAAGAGGGCAAGCAAATATATAACGGCAATCTCTGACCATAAAACTTGGCAACAAATCATCTCCAGCAGTATGCTTATTAGAAAACGTTGCCATTAATTTAATTAGCTCCTCTTCTGTAGTGGGATGAAAAGAGTATGGCAACGGATTGAAATTAGATTCAGTGAAAGTTCGGTCAGTAGATACAGTGTGAACAGCAGAAAACATGTCAGCAAAAGCATTTACAATATCTTGAGGATCAGCAAGAACATTGCTCTCACTATCAATCAGATTACAGGGTATTCTTGTGGTACGTTTCTTAGCTCGGAGAAAATTCCATATACTGGACGGATCAGTCTTGATGGTATTTTGTATGTTGTTAAGATACTTAATGTAACTGTCGTTTATTTCATTTTTTAACAACCTCCTTAGTCGCTTAAATTCATTATAAAATACAATTTTTTTTGTTTTGATCCATTTTTTGTGATAGAATTTTTTGATATTAATATGTCTCTTTATTTCCGGCGAAAACCACGGTGGGTAAGAACTATTAGATTTGGTTTTAATAGGGACATGTGTATTAATTACGGAGTAAATGGCATCATAGAAGGCATCCAAAGCCTCATTGACATCGGTATGGGAAAGCAAAAAAGACCAATCATACTTAAAGAAGTGATCATATAATGCAGGGTAATTTGCTCGATGGAAGTCATATCGTAAATTATCAGAAGATGGGAACCGCTGTTGATTAGTAGGTGTAGAGTAGTAAACTTCCACTTCAAGACTGGGATGATAAGAATCTTCTGGTACAACTGGATTGTCAGATCTTATTATGTGAAAATTCAGGTCAGCATTAGAGATCAACAAATCCAACATTCTGCCATCTTCATTCTTAACGTTATTGTACTGTTTGGCATTAAGAACACTTAAAAAATCAATAAAAGCCCTGGTTTTAATTGAATATTGACTAGTAGGTAAGATTAAATCGGGGAGATTGAAATCTCCAACCAATACAAAGAAATGGTTAATTATAATAGCCTCAAGAGCAGTAGTAAATGTCTCCATATCATCAGACGATATATGGTTATGATAACATCTCGAGGAAGGTGTTGAGAAGCTTGGACCTTGATATTCACTCCTACATCAGGGAAATAATTAACTTCTGCCTCATGACTCAACATTTCCCACGAGACTGGAGGACCTCTATCATAATCTGGGTCCCCAAAAAGGATTCCTCATTTTCCGACCCAGCAAACTACCGCCCCTTCTCATTGCTGCCAGTGATAGGAAAGCTTTTCGAGACACATCTCAAGAACAAGTTCCTGGCTGTCATCTCAAAGAACATCCCACCCTACCAATTTCGATTCCAACCCGGCAAATCCACATCCCAGCCACTTACGGTATTGGTTTCCAATTTTCATGCGGCACGCTATCAAAAACGTAAATCCGCGACTATGATTTTGGATGTCCGAAAGGCTTTCGACTCAGTCTGGCACAAAGGCCTACCATTCAAACTGGATAAGTTAAATGCTCCATATTACCTCCTAAACTTGATAAGGCAATTCCTTTCAGATCGCTCTTGTTCTGTGAAGCTCAAGAACCATCACTCCCGCAGTTTCACCATCCAACTTGACTCCCGCAAGGATCTCCTATCTCTATACAACGTCTTCTGCCACGATATTTACGACAACAACCCAGACGGCTTTGATGTGAATAAACATACTCTACTTTACGCCGATGACACAACACTGATTTCGCACGACGGGGACATTGCTTCTTCGGTCCGAAAGCTACAGGTGCTTATTGATGAAACAGATAGCTAGTACCGAAAATGGCGCGTTCAAGTCAACTCTTCAAAATCGCAATTCTTCATCCCTTTCCTCCCAGTCGAATCAACTCCCCTCTCAGTCTCACCAACCTAGACATAACACTCGACAGAACCCTAAAATTCTGTGCCCACACCATCAAAATGAAGATGAAAGTGAAAACTCGCGCTATGCACTTCATATCTCTGTCATCCAGAGGTCGCTGAATTCGCACATTTACAAATTCATATGCAGACCAATTATAGAATATGGATCTATACTTCTAAACGACGCGCCTAGAGCATCAAGACACCATTTAGAAGTCGCAGAAAGATCGGCATCAAGGTCCACAACACGAATAAGGAATCCCCAAAATCCTCTTTTCAACCCTAGCAATCTTTATAACCTCACTAATATCCCTCCCATTAACTTCCGTCTACAATCTTTATCTCATAAAACTACCCTAAATTTCCCTACCAATCTTCTCCACCATATGCTCATTATCCCTAGAGTAAACCACCCATCTGACCGCCCATCACTCCTTCAAAAACTGTTGATGAACAGAGAAGACTGAAGCTGCCGCTAAGTAGCTTGGGCTAACTAACTTGCATGAGCAGAAAGACTCCAGTCGATAGCCCTATTTTTGGCTGAGTTTTAATTTATACCTTTTTTGCAGTTATATACTCCTTTTTTTAATTTATTTGTATTCTTTGCATCCAAAAATAAAATTTGTTTTCTCTCTCTCTCTCTTCAAATGTTGTTTTCTCAAAAACTAAAAGTAATTTTTCAAAACGTGTTAGTTCATTGGAAAGAGGACACTCTTATTAACACTTTGGGAAATTTTCATAGTCACATTCCAAGAAATGTATTTTATACGAATTTTTAAAACTTAATCGGCGAAAATTGAAAAATTCGAAAAAAATGTCGATCATTTCAAAAATTTATTTATCAAGAACTAAAAGTGATTTTTCAAAACGGCTGGTTGCATTAAGAAGGGGATACTTTAATTAATAATCGAAAGTGATAACAGCGACAGTTCTGTTAGTAATGAATGTGATGATGAATTACAAGCGAAGAGAAGGAAATTAGACAAAACTGCAATAAGAGATTTTATATATCGTATTGGGATTGCTACAATGAGGTTGCTAAAGACAAACTTGATATAAATAAAGTTGTATTCAATGAAAAAAGTACTATTGGGGTTGAACTTGATTATTATCACATATATATTAGAAATGAAAATTTGTCAACATTAAAACAAATTCTTATTGTATGCTTTCTGGGGCACTCATTACGTTATAATTTATGTAAAATCCGAAAATCACCCTTACATAATATTTTGTATCTGTTTTTATAAATATTGTTAATGCCCACTGGTATGTGCGAAATTCTGATATACATAGAGACCTCCAGATTCTAACCGTTAAGGAAGAAATTAAAAGATTTGATGAAAAATATGANTTGGGATTGTTACAATGAGGTTGCTAAAGACAAACTTGATATAAATAAAGTTGTATTCAATGAAAAAATTCCTATTGGGGTTGAACTTGATTATTATCTGCAGTGTCCAACATCTAAAAGAGATACTAATTCCTGTGAATGGTGGAGTACTAAGTAATAGGTTTTTAATATCCGGCAAAAGCCGAATATATAACTAATCCGCTTTACGCCCTATTCATAGATCTAAAGGCAGCGTTTGATAAGGTGAATAGAGGGAAGTTATGGGAGGAGATGAGGAGGAGAGGGATTACTGGTGGGACAATAAACAGGGTGAGGGAGATATACGCAGAGACGATAGCTAGGGTAAAGGTGGGGGACGAGTTAACGGATAGGTTCTGGACAACTAGGGGTTTGAGACAGGGATGTCCACTTAGTCCCGCTCTGTTTGCCTTGTATACCGCAGACATGGAAGACAGATTGACCGGTGGGCAGATGGGAGGTGTGATTGTAGGGAGAAGGAAGGTGCATTCACTGGCTTACGCGGACGATTTGGTGGTAGTGGCGAGAGAGGCGAAGGAGATGAAGGCGATGATGCGGAGTTTGGAGAGTTATTTTAGGGGGAAGGCTCTGGAGGTGAATGTAGGAAAGACAAAGGTTATGAAGTTCTGTAAAGGGGGTAGAAGGAAGAGCGAAGACTGGAGGTGGGAAGGGAAGGAGATAGAGGAGGTGAGGGAGTACACATATTTGAGGTACAGATTTAGAGAGGACAACAAGGAAGGCGCGCATGTGAGGGCAATGGCAAAGAAGGCGAATAAGGTGATGGGGCAGGTCTGGGGGTGGGGAGAGAGATTATTTGGAAGGGATATGGGAAAAAGGAAGATGATATTCGAGTGCTTGATTAGAAGTGTTATGATGTACGGGGCGGAGGTTTGGGGGTGGAAAGAGCAAGGGCTGTTGGAAGGCGTACAGGCTAGGTATTGGAGATGGGTTTTGCGGTTGGCAAAAGAGACGCCGGAGTACATAGTCAGAGAAGAGGTGAAGGTTGATAAGTTAAGAGTGGAGGCGGGTAAAAGGGCGGTACGTTTTGAGGAAAGGGTTGAAGGGAGGTCTCAATGTAAAATTTTGGGGGAGTGCTGGAAAGAGATTAAGGCAGGGAAAGGGGGTTACGGACAACGAGGGAGGGAGGAATATTTCAGAAAGAGAGAGGAGGGGGCAGAGGGAAGAGAATGGATGAGGGAGGTGGTGGCGACTAGGCAGCGTAGGGTGATGCGGGGAGGAGATGGGGAGGGGTAGGATAGGAAATAAAATGTATTGTATTGTAGTGTGATATATGTAATTGTAGTATGGTTAAAATTTAATTGTTTGTGGAATGTATTGCTGATTTGGTAGCAATAAACTTAAATTATTATTAAACTTAAAAAACTAATCCGTTGGTAACTATCCGGTATCCGGCCGGATTTTAAAAAATGGTCGGATACCAGATAGTTGCCGGATATCCGTTTCACCTCTAGTTTTTAACAATGAAAATTTCGTAACATTAAAACAAATTCTTGTTGTATGATTTCTGGGACACTCATTACGTTATAATATATGTAAAATCCGAAAATCACCCTTACATAATATTTTGTATCTGTTTTTATAAATATTGTTAATGCTCACTGGTATGTGCGAAATTCTGATATACATAGAGACCTCCAGATTCCAACCGTTAAGGAAGAAATTAAAAGATTTGATGAAAAATATGAAGCTAGACTAGACGTCACTTCCACGATAACTCATACTGCTGGACAACTAACAAAACGTTCGAAAACTGAAGAAATGAAAAGTACATACATTATGTGATCTTGTGTAGTGTTGTGTATAAAATCGGAGCGCTCTAAGTGAGAACTAAACTAGAAGACATCAATGAATAAACTCTTATTAATAAGTATATAGTTTTAGGCATGAATAATTTACGATAAGTGAGTTTCTACTTACAGAGACCGTAACCATGTGCCCAAATATACAATAAACGCTTAGTTGAACTAATAAAATTATATAAAGTTGAAGTTGTGCGAAAAAAGCTGGACTAAATAATTCAGCCTGAAAACAAAATATTTTCGATGTCAAAAAAATATAGATTCACCGATTGATAAACTTACTGTAACAACTGTGAACAACGTTGTCATTAAACTAAACAAAGTTAATGTAACTTGTGGAAAGCACATATACCTAAAAATTCTATCGACATTTTTAGCCAACGTAAGTAATCGTTGTAAAGGAACTGTAATGGACCTTAATTTATTTTGCAATTTGGCTTTTCTATCATCATCGATCAAAGTCAAACTAGCTTCTTCAATTCCGATTGATACAATACCTTTATCGATAACTTTAGCCAACATCGTTAAGTATATAGTCATACTCATAAACAGCGAATCTAAAGCTAATCAAGAAAATTGATAAATACAATACATGAACTAAAATAAGTTTCATACCAAGTACTTGTAATGTTAAAAAGTACATTGCGAAAGTATGCCACGCTGAAATCAAGATACACAAAGATTTTGAAGGATTTTCTGGGATCGGTGTAAAAAAATAAAGGATTTCTTTGTAAACAACTCGACCATTAATAATATCGTCTTCATCGGTTAAAAATAATTTGATAATCTTAGCAACGGTGGTTATTACAATGTATGAGTTAATCATAGAGGTGTAACTCCAAATGATAGTTTTATTCCTCTTCTCCCCCATTTTTAGAATACTTTTATGATTTCCATGGAATCTTCCAAAAATTCCTTTAATTGAAATAAATTCCTTCATAGCTGCAATAAATTCTTCTCGATAACAAATTGCTACGGACATTTTCAAAAGCAGGATCACATGAGTAGAAAAATACATTAAACAATCTGTCAATCTATCCACGTCGTGTATTGAATAAGAAATTTCCAAAACTTCCGCCAGAATAACAGTAAAATTGATCAAAATCATAAAAATTGTAAGTAAGCAATACATTTTTGAATCAGTTGAAACCGACCGGAATAAAAAACCAGCACCAGATATTTTTAATAAAATCACGTTATATTTGAACATTATTAAAGTATTTTTTCTTTGGTGGTTTCTTTTGAGTAATATGAATCAAAAATGGTTCGATTTTTATATATGGTTTAAAATTTATACTCGGGAAAAGTAGAACAAAGCGGTTTCGATGAATTTGTATCATTTTAGTTTGAAACTTGGTTCCCTAGGGAAAAACGCCATGTTACACTTAAGAAAGTTTAAAAGAACATTTTAAAGATTTTCTTGTTTTGTGTAAGCAGATATTTATTGTTTCAATTTTTGATGTGTGAAAATCATTTTTATTGCCTTTTTTAAAATAATTCTTTGCAAATTTTACACGTTTAGAAAATACAAGTTGAAACTATAGATTGACATTAAATTGTGAGAAGTTAAGGATTTGGTGGATTTTAAAACATTTTTTTTTCTCAAACAATAAATCCGCCGAAAGAAAATAAACGTGACATTACTAAATAATTTAAAGACGACGTGCACAAATAGCAGAGAATTTAGACTCTCGATTATAAAGACTGCAAAAAATAAACTGCGATCAATTTAGAACAGCACTTGAAGACACCTACAATACTGATATAGCGTATACATGTAGCAACAAAAAACAACAATGGATAAATGACGAAATTCTATAACTTATGGAAGAGAGAAAATTACAGAAAAGTAAAAATCTTTATAAATATAAAGCACAAAACAAGCCAATTCGAAGAGCTTGTCGAGAAGCCAAAGAAAAATGGCTAAAAGAACGCTGCGAGCAGAGTGAAGAACTGCAAAGAAAATATCTAGTAATACAAGTGTCAAAGAGTCAAATCCAAAAATTACAATTAATCTAGTTAAACAAGCCTTACAACTTTGGCCCAGACCAAATATATGCAGGAACTCTAAAAATGATTGCAGAAAAAGATGGTCAAGGATCTACAAAACAAGACAAACACGTCCGTGTACAACGCCAAAAGCCTGCAGAAATCCCAAGATCTTAAGAATATTACGTTCGTCAAACAAAATTAGCCGTTTCATGACGTGTTAAGTACAAAATTTTATCTAATTCCATTGAAAAAGCAATTTTTGTTCAAAACTTGATTTATTGTATTAGTGACAGCTGTCAATTTATTAACTTGTAGTTAGGTAATGAAATTCATTACATCACTAGTAATGTAATGAAATCATTACATTGACGTTCTGAGGTTGACAATTAAATGAGCATCAATTAAACCATTTTTTTACAATTTTTCTAAAAAATAGTCAAAATGTAAGATATCGAAAATGATCAGATCTATAGTATTGTTAATATACGTCTACCTCCCTTCTGGACAACTAAGCCTGATACTTGGTTTAGACAAATCGAAGCACAATTCGAATTGTTACTTGTCACTAGTGACAAAACCAAGTGCAATTTAGTTGTCACTCATTTACCCACAGATGTTTTAAACACCGTCGTTGATATAATCAACGAATCTCCAGAGCGAGACCTATATGCGACTCTAAAGAAAAGCATCATTAATCGTCTTTCTCTAAGCGAAGAAAAACGATTGAACGACCTTCTCTCAAATACACATATGGGAAAACAAAAGCCTTCAGATTTCTTCCGAGAACTTTTATTCAATATAGGCAGTTCTCAGGTAGTAAGTCCTGATCTTCTTTTGAAGCTCAGGACTTAGGTTGCCACACATTATCTATAGAATATGGCGGATACGATCTGGGAATCAATCATTTCCACGCCAAGTATATACCAACCCACACACTTAAATTACAACAACTCATTCTATTCATACAATTCAACAACCTCAACCAACAAACACTTCCATTTCGCACATCATTCAAAACCAACACACAACCGTCTATGACCGACATGATCCGAACCTTCGATACCTTCACCACGACATGTCAGAGTATATTTAGCTCATTTGCTCAAAAACAGGCAGCAATGGACTCCCAAATTGCTTCAATCAACAGCAAGCTAAGCAACAAAAGTAATGAATTCCCAAGTCACCATTGCTGTGCACACTGCATTTATCGTTGTAACAGATCTCCATATTCATCTTACCGGACATCCACAAGAAGCCCATCACGCGGATCCAATATCTGCACTTATCACACTAAATATGGCGATCGTGTCCGCTACTGCCGAGGTAAATGGTGCAAATTTTATTATTCTTTTTCAAATAAAAATAATTCTAAAAATCAAAAAAACTCCAATTCAAAGAATTATTCCAAATTAAAAATCAATGAGTTAAATTCAAGACTATTTATTTATGAAAGGATTCGGGAGCAGAAATATCAGTTTTACCAGTTAAACTATTTCCGTTCAATAAACAAAACTCACATTCGTTTTATCAGCAGCCAATGGATCAGTTATCAAAACATATGGCAAGAAGTTACTAACAGTTTCTCTACAAGACGTAACTTTCCATTTGTTTTCATTCTAGCGGACGTGAGTAAACCTATAATCGGCGCTTATTTCTTAGGCAAGTACAATATCTTAATAGATATTAATCAGCGAGTTATTGATTGTGAAATAAATCTTTCAGCAATAGGCTTCCTCTCCCGTACTTCTTCTGCCCAACCACGCCTTTTCTCTATTGAAATAAAATTTACTCAATTGCTAAAAAATTTTGTTCCCTCGATTTCTCCATTCCTGTAAATCATCATACAACACATAAGATAATAACCAACTTTCATCTGCGTTTCAACCGCCCTCGAAGACTAGATTTCAGAAAACTTTCTATAGCTAAAAAGAATTTGAAATCATGGTATCATTAGGGATCTGCCGTCCATCATCTCCTTTGCACATGCTCCATAAAAAGGACTCCGGAGTTTGGCGACCTTGCGGAGACTTAACCATATCACAGTTCCAGATCTTTATCCATTGCCTCACATACAAGATTTTAATCTTCACTTATCTGATTGTATCATTTTTTCGAAAATTGATTTAATTCGAGCTTACCACCAAATTCCAGTTGCACCCGAAGATATTTACAAAACGGCAATAACCACACCATTTGGTCTATTTGAATTTTTGCGAATGCCTTTTGGTTTGCGAAATGCCGAAACATTTCAGAGATTCATCAATGAAGTTCTTACTGGCCTAACTTTCCTTTTTGTCTATTTAGATGATATTTTAATAGCTAGTAAATCCGAAGATGAACGCTTAGAATATCTAAGAATTCTTTTTGAAAGATTAAACAGTTATAATATGAATATACAACCAAATAAATGTATATTTGGCGTCCCCTCATTAGATTTTTTAAGTCGTACAGTATCAGAAAAAAGAATTCGACCTTCTCAATCAAGAATACACATCATATCCAAGTTTTCTTAACCAAAAGCAGTAAATGAACATCAACGTTTCTTAGGAATGTTAAATTTTCATCATTGTTTCATACCCAACCTATCAGAAATTTTATTCCCACTACATAAACTAGTAAATAAATTGCAACTTGAAAAAATCAAAAACATTACACTCTGGACAACAGAAGAAGAACATTCTTTCTCTAAAGCCAAAGACTCTCTGGTTAAAGTTGGACTTCTCTCACATCCTTATCCAACTTTCTTCATATACTGATGCTTCAGTATCAACAATGGAACTTCTTCACCAGTAGCCTTCTTTTCCAAAAGAATGTCTAACAGCCAAATGAAGTACTCCACCTTTGACAGAGAACTCTTAGCTATGTATTTCGCGGTTAAACATTTCTTACAAGGAAACCAATTCAAAATTTTAACAGATCATAAACCCCTATAATCACCGCGCTCTTTTCGAAAACGGAAAAAACTCCTAGGCAAATCAGATACAATAACTACATACTTGAACTAACCTCTGAAATCTCTTACATTAAAGCAAAATGCAACACAGTGTCGGATACTTTATCAAGAATAACTATACTACTTTATCACTATCGATTCTTTAACATCTGAAGCAACGCAAAGTTCCAATAAAGAACTACAATATTTATTACAAAAGTAATCTTTAAAAACAAATAAAAAATACCATAAATCTAAAATAAAAACTCAATCTTCTAATTTAGATCTTTGGTGCGAAGATTCTTCTAAATCGCCAAGAATCTACATACCCAAAAAATTTTTTCTAAAACCTTAAATAATATTAAAAATCGATTTTTTTGGCCACATTTAACCAAGCAAGTAAAATCATGGTGTAAAACTTGCATACCTTGCCAGAAAACTAAAATCCAAAGAAACACAAAATATCCACTTCAGAAATTTAATTTCCCTGCTGGTAGATTCGAACATATACACATAGATCTAATAGGTCCTTTTACTCCTTCATTCTTTTGTACTAACAGCAATCTAGTGAAGCGATCACCAGATGGCCAGTAGCGTAACTACGACATCTACTATAGCCACAACACTACTAAACCAACATTTCTCAAGATTTGGTATTCCACACACTATGACACACGATCAAGAAAGGCAATTGGAATCCCGATTATATCACCAATTCAATAAATTGGTAGGATCTGATCAGATCCACACTTCAACTTTTCATCCCCAAAATAATGGCATATTAGAAAGGTTCCATAGAACTCTTAAAACTGCCATTGCTGCCAGAGAAAACGGCTATAGGTGGAACCACGAGCTCCCAATTATACTATTGGGCCTTCGATCTTCACTTAAAGAAGATCTAGGTTGTTCCCCCGCAGAGTTAGTGTATTTATAGGAGAATTTATTATTACTTCACAGGACTATTTAGAAACGGAACCACTCCTAGTTAGTCTTAAAGAAACGTTTTCAAGTTTAAAACCAGTACCTACTACCTTCCATTCAAAAATTAAACCTTTCATTCATAAAAATTTATACGTTTCAGACTTTGTTTTATTAAAATTAAATCATTTTAAGCCTTCCCTTGCACCAAGATTTGAAGGCCTTTTTAAAGTCATTAAACGCTTTCAAAAAAACTTTATTATTTTAAAAGATAACAAAGAATTATCAGTTAGTATTGATCGATTATCGCCAGTATTTATAGCTAACGATAAGCTGGAAATTACTTCTAATCAAAATTCAATTCCAAATAAATCTTTAAGAATACGTTTTCAAAATTAAAATATTTATAACTACTTGATTTACATTTTATTGTTAACCTTATTTGTTCTAGGAAGGGGGAGTATTTGTAACGTCATGTCTACAAAATCCAAGATGCCACCATATATTTTTCCATCTTCAAACAAAAAGATTTAGTGACCTTGTTTTTTAAAATATAATTGGCAACAAAAGTTTGTTATTATATTATAATAAATTATGGATTCCTTTCAATAAACTCATTGAAGCCACACGTATATAAAACTGCTTGACTAATTTAGTTTTAATTAAATTTTTATTAATTATATTGGGAAAATAAAATCTATTAACAACATGTAAAATTTAATTTTCATAATGGAATTACGTAAAATATTTTGTCCACGACTACCTTATAATATATACCTTATGAATGAGTTTTCTAAAACAAAATGGTAGTCATTTTTCACGGAGTGAATAATAGCGGTGAATAATAATCATTATCCACGGGTAGCCATCTTGATCAGACTAATAATAATTATTTGAAACGTTAAAAGTTCAAAAAACGTCAATTTAATTCATTTTTTTAGGAGTTTCTAAATGTTTGACATTAAAAAAACCTAAACAAATTCGTTTTTTCGTATGATTTAAGCATAAATTAATTAATTTTCGTAAAGAAAACGACGTTTTGTAAAACTGACATTTAATTTTGACAAATTGTTGTGAAGTTGGTTACAGTTAGTAATATTGAATTTGGGTCACGTTGACGTTTAACCTTTATTCAAAAATTTATTTAAAATATTAATTTAAGGAATCAATTTCAATAGTCATGGACAAAGTATAGTATTCTACTCGCATATAATAATATACTATTATCTACAACTATTGAATTATCTATTCGTTATACATTTGATTTTTGACAGGTAATGACACGCATTACTCATGACTGACCAAGTGTTGAATAATGAAGCCATTATTCCACAGTTCCGACACGGCCTACTAATCAAAAAATAAAATATTAACAGAAATGACAGCTTTCTTATATTGAGGTCATGTCTGAAATGTCTATCAAGTTTATTTTTTCAAAATTAAATAGTTGTAGATAAAGTATAGTATTCAACTTGCGTATAATGGATGTTACCCACTCAGATTACAACAATCGCTCGCTTCGCTCGCTCGTGTTGCAACTTCATCTTCGTAGGTAACAGCCGCCATTATACGCTTGTTGAATAATATACTATTATCTATGACTGCTTGGATAAGTCATCATTACCGCACTCATTTGAGGTGATTTCAGTTACGTAATGAAGTTCATTACCGCACTGGTTTCATTACGTAACGCATTTTTAGCCTAACCAGAACAGACTTAATTTATTAAAACGAGCAACAATACAAAAAAAACGTGCTATCTACTTACAGAGAAACAATACTATTTATTATAAACATTAATTGTTATGTTTTTACATTTCGAAACACTTATTCCAGATGAGTAAACATGTTGTTGAAACTGACAATTCAAAATTGTCAACAATCATTTCAAAATATTTTTATAAATGTCAAATAGACTTTTTTAAAGAAATTGATTTTTTAGTAATTTTTAGCAGTCGTAGATAAAATGCTGTATATCACACGTGGGCTAGAGCATAATTACAGTACTCGGTCTACGACCTCGTCGTGCAATTCTCCACACTCGTACAGTAATTATGTTTCTAGCCCACTTGTAATATAAATAACTATTCAATAGTCGTATAATGAGATGATGTTTAGATGACTTAACATTAAATAAGTAAATTTCTACTTACAGCGATCGAAAGCATCTGTCCAAAAATACAATAAATACTTAATTGGAGCAATAATAAAAAATAAAGTTGAAGTTGTGCAAAGAAATCAGCACTAAATAATTCAGTCTGAAATCAAATATATAAATTTTCTATATCAAAGAAATAAATAAAATCATTAACTCACCGCTGCGATCGATAATAACGTTGACATCAAACTAAATAAAGTTAAAATAACTTGTGGTAAGCACATGAATCTGAAAATTCTATCGACGTTTTTAGCTAACGTTAATAATCGTTGTAAATAAATAGTAATCGATCTCATTTTATCGTCCATTTCATTATTTATTTTTATTGATTCAATATCGTTGTTGATGATTTTAGCAAAAACCGTTAAATATATAATCATGGTCATAAATACTGAATCTAAACCTAATCAAAAAAATAATTAACGATTACAAGAATATTAAATAAATACAAGTTACATACCTAGTACTTGAAACATTACAAAGTACATACCCGAAGCATGCCACACCGCAATTATTTTACATAAAGATTTTGAAGCATTTTGCGGAGTTGGGGTAGAAAAATAAAAAATTTCATTATAATCAACTTGACCGTTAAGATAATCATCTTCATCGAATGAAAGTAGTTTTATAGCTTTAGTTAGCAACATAAAAATAATATACGAAATAATTGCAAATATATAACCCCAAACTAATAATTTATTCTTTTTCTCCCCCCGTTTTAAAACAACCAAATGATTTCCTTCGAATCCCTCAAAAAATTCTTTAAATGAAATAAAATCTTTTATCGTTTCCATAAATTTTTTCCGAAAGAAAATGGCAACGCACGATTTCATTAAGATGATTGCGTGGGTTGGGAAAAGTATTAAACAATTTGCCAATCTGTCTATGTCGTGTAATGAGAAAAAAATTTCCATAATTTCAGCCGCCATAAGGGGGTAAACGATTAAAACGGTACAAATTATATATAAATAATAAAGTTTAGAATCGGTTGAAATTAAACGAAAAATAAAACCAGCTCCGCCTAACTTTAAAAAAGTTAGATTAAACCCGAACATTATAAAACACCTTTTATCTTTACTGATTAGTTTTGAGTAATGTGAATTGAAATGACTCGATTTTTAGGGTTTCTTTAAAATTTATAGTTCACACGAGGAAAAGTAGAACAAAGTGATTTCAATGAATTTGTATCATTTTAGTTTTTAAAGTGAATTTCTTAGGAAAAACGTTATGAAAATTGGGGGAATATGTATAAAATTGATATAAACACTTTGAAACTTTTTAGTTTCACGTAAGTATATATTTTACTTACAATTACTAATTACTAACACTAATTACTTACATTTGTGCTGTTCAGAAAATATGTGAAATAACAAGAAAATATTTTATTGTAATTTTAAGCAAAAATTCAAGGTTCTCACCTGTTGTACACATTTCACTACATACTCATGATATCCGACACCCTCCATTCACCGAGAATGCCCGTCATTTGGTCACGCTGTTGTATTACATGCTTTAAACAAACCATAAAATTTGTCAACCAAAGAATTTTTTAATTGTCGCGATTTCTTTATAATTAATTTCATTTATTTTAATATAAAAAGATTGTCAGATACAATGTGTATAAGTAAAGTGAAGCAAAGAAAAATATTAAGTTGAGATCGTAGACCTGCTACAGTATTTATTTCCCAGAGGTATCATATCATTTATTTAACGGACGGCTAACCCTAGCTAAAAGAAGACCGTTGCATAAGGTGTATCAAGATACAAATGTTCCATTCGCGACTATAAAATGAGCCAGTTTGTTTTCAAATTGGTCAGTTGTCGCAGTACATTCAACAGTCAACCATCCACCAATAGTTGCCATGGCCTCAAGGGTAAGAAAATTTTAATAAAATTTCTAACGAAATTTTTAATTAACTATTTTTTTAGATTGTATTAGCCCTAGCCACAGTTGCTCTAGTCAGTGCCCAATACCAAAATTACGGTTATGGCCAGAACCAGGGTCAAGGCGGTCAAGGCGTCAATCAAGGTAATCAAAATGGCCAACAACAACAAAACGGTTTTCAAACGCAACAGTACCATCCAACCAACTACCCTACGGCACCGGTGGCAGCATCGTTCCAATCCCAAAATCAACAACAAGGTCAACAAATTCAACCATTTACAGTAGCCGCTAACCAAATTCAGGAGCCGTACGATCCTTATCCTCAATACGCTTATGCCTACGATGTCCATGATCCATCCACAGGAGATATTAAGAATCAACACGAAACTAGGCACGGTGATAGCGTAAGAGGCCAGTACAGTTTAACCGAACCGGATGGTTCCAGAAGGACCGTGGATTATTCTTCAGACCCTAATACCGGATTTAACGCGATTGTTCGCAGAAACGGACAGCAAGTTCACGGACAATAGTTTCGATATTTCAGATTGAACGACGAAACTTGAGTACGATTGGATTGCTTGGACCACGTCCGCATTGACTATTTTGATAATGTGACTATTTTAAACTGCCTGTATCATGCAATAAAGAAAAAAAAGAATACACAAATTATGTTTGAAATATTGTTTTCTTTTTCTATTCATTTAATATAACTTTATTTCTGCCAGGTAAGATATTGCAGCAAAAAGTTTTCTTTCCAGTTGGTATTTTTAGATTGAAAATAGACCAAGTTTCAGTTTCTGCCTTAAAAACTACAACATCTCTTAAAACTCGAAAATCCTACATCTTCTAATTGACCGAAAAAGTAAATGTTGCTGTTAGTTCTTATTTTATGCAGAATAACAATCGTGCAAGCCATCAAAATTAAAAAGTTGCCAATACATGTATAGAAAAATGCCCTACATTTCATTGTTCATGAAAATTACACTTAAACTGTACGAGAGTAGATTTGCACATAAACTACAAAATACTAGCACCACAAACAAATATGAAGTAAAAATCTGCTGGCAACAAATTCAAACTTGTATACAATAAGCTGGTTGCGAAGCTATATGATTGATATAAGCCGATAACGTAAAATTAACATAAATGCCACAGACCATACCATTGGAAGAAGTAAGAGAAGTAACTTAGAAAAGCTAACTAACAGAATACTAAGACTAGGAACAGGGTTAACTTAAGAAATCATTAAAAGAGAGCATTGAAGTAAATTTACCAATAACAAATACCACGACCTATACGAAGCACAGAAAAATATGGTAAATACTCTGAAACAGGAAAAATTTCATCAGCAAATATGTTCAATCAAAAAAAATACCGCTATGAACTTGGGAGTTATTTCCAACAATTATATAGTACTGAAGATACAACTAAAATAGAAGAATATGAAACAACGGAGAAAATTGCAATAAGAAGAGCGGGAAGAAAAACTGAGTAAATTAAATAGACAGAAAGGGATTCAAAATACGAAAGAATTCAATGCAAAATTTTGTGCTCATCACAAATACCAGAAAATTGACACAGAAGCAGTACTTACCTTACTAATTGTAAGTACAAAACTGAAATTATTGACAAACGTTCTGGAAGAGAAATTAGAAGCGCAGGTTAAAAATGAAGTAGAGCAACAAGAATTTAAAAAAAATAGGTGAACAACTGACGCTTTATAGCATACAGTATTTGCCAAACCCCTTTATATAGTGGAAGCCTAGAAGACATTCTGAGATTACTAATTGAGAAAAGAACGCCATCTAACATTGTAAAAGTAATCCAAATTCTAAACACAGATAACATGATAAAGATTAAAACCAGCGAGCATACAATCACTAATATTCCGACACCAAATAGAATTAGAGAAGGGGACAGCTTAAGTCCATTCTTGTTCAAGTTGATGATGGACAACATTATACAGAAGGATGCAGTAATCATGGCAGAAACTAATTAAACATGAATATATCCGTCAATAAAAAAAAGTCACGACAATCTCCAAAGAACCAATTTAATAAACTTGTGGTAGAAGGCAAGCCCAGCCAACAAATTAATCAGTTCAGCAAAAGACTTAAGAAGCCAGACCAAAAAAGCAACGGCTTTATCAGGATGCTTAAGAAAGTCAAATTAATTCATGAAAATAAGCAGCAAGATAAGAATTATCGAAATGATAACGTTACGCACTATTCTAGGTAAGAGTAGAAGAGTCCTGGTAAGAAATATAGATATCAGGGAATGCTGCTAGATGTGATAAGATGGGGGAAACAAAAAAGAACGAACCAGCAAGTAGTCGAACGCAAGGAAGGACATTTAAAAAATAGAAGGACAGCTGCCTAACAAGTCAACATCACAAAACACATTTCTACTACGAATTCAGAACACAAAATACCAACATGTCTAAAACATGATGATGTGTATGACTTGATTAAGTTGGCAAAATTGATGGATGGGTGTGAATATTTTTTGTGCAAAATTTACTTCTATCCTATTTACTTTGTGTGACTTACATATAACTTCTGTTGTGTCAAAATCATCAAATTTATGTATTTTTGGCTTTTTTACAATGTTAAGCTGGAAAAATTCATGGAGGGGTTATATCCGATTATGGATTTTAATTTTGGTATTAATTCTCAATATTTTCTCCATAAAAACTGAAATTCATCTTTTTTATTTTTTGATTTACAGCATTTTATATATCACAAGTACCAAGTTTTGGTACTTTTGTGTTTAACTTGATTAATCTGACAAAATTGATGGATGGGTTTAAAGTAGTGGTGGATTATAATTTAAAGATAAATTATGAATATTTTCCGCATAAAAACTAACTTCTATTTTTATTCATATATCATTTTTTATGTAAAAATCATCAAATCAAATAAATAATGTGTTAATTTGGCAAAATTGACTAATGAATATATTTTCTATATTGGGTAATAATTTTATATGCCAAAAGTATCAAATTTTGGTAGTTTGTTATTGACTTGATCACTCCAATTTGTTCAAACTTAACATCTAAGTGAATCAGTTGGTATCACACTAAAATCTATATGTAATGACCAGGTGTATAATATTTTCCATCGAAGTGATGATTGAAAATAAATAAAATTCTTATAATGAAAAGTGTGCGAAATCGAATTCGATGTACTAATTTGATTCTTTTGCTCAAGTTTTGCCCTTTTAAATGTTTAAACCCAATCTCTACTAGGCATTTGCGCACAACTACAGCAGTTTATGGATTACCAGTTATGTCTAGTTTATATCTAGTTTTGAAAAATCTGTTTTTGTCTGACAATTAATTGTTAAAAAAAGAACGAACTTGATTAACTCAGATAAATGATTGAAATAATAAGCTAATTACTAGCTTCTATTAATTTTGAAATTCCCGTCTAACAGTTTTGTTCCATACATCACGTTGGTGAAGTTTGGCCAAGCAATTCATATACACCTGTATATACAGCTAATAGCCAAAGAATGCATTTGAAGCAACTATAACCATAATAATAATCTATTGGTTATCTTAACCACAACATTAAGCAAATATTTATAGTATTATATCAATTTTAATGTTAATTTAGATAAACTTTATTGCACTAAAAATAACTATACAGGATGATTTATTAGCTCACCATCAAGCTTTGACATATGATAGCTAATCCTATTATCAAAAAAAATGTTAATGAACATATGTCCTGTTTCAATTATTTACGAAATTATAACACTTTAAAGTTTTAATTTTCATATCATAATGTTTATATCAAGGTTTATAAAGCTTAACTACTTTTAATGTTTTTCAAATGGCTTTTTTTTCAAGTTTTTTAAATGGAACACCTGTATATTGTGTGATAGTTGAATTGCTCATCAAGTTCCCTTTAATTAATGATAAGTATGTCATATATCTAACTTTAATAGTTTTCCTAATATTTAGAATTTAAAGAAAAATGTGTAATAAAATATATTCTGTCCTTTTTTTGTCACTTTTTTTTTTGTTTTTTCTTTTTTGTTTGTCGGTCATTTATAAATTAGTAATATTATATTAAAATTCAATTTACAACAAATTTTAATAATTAAATAATCAAAACATGATAAAAATGCAAAAAATACAATTAAATGGCAAAACAATAAATCCCTTTTTTAATTACTAACTTATTTAAAGGAAATGCAGCGACAAACTATAAATAATTACTAAACGTTGCTCAGCAAGTAGGTATTAATTTAATTAATATTTAGAAGTTGTTCAAAATGCCGCCCATTTTCTCTTCTACCAGTATTAATGCGCTGTATAAAAGATCTTGAGGTATCTCTTAACATGTGCATTTTATTTTCTCTAAAGTTGTAAATTATATGGCAGAACAATTACATATTTCATTACTTACATCTTTTTAAAATCTCATAAAGTACCAAGTCGCATTAAAATCTGGTATATGGCAGCAAAATTATTTTACATTATAAAATATTAATCAAATAATAAAAGGAAGAACAAAAGAAATGATAAACATAGACAAAATATAATATTAAGTACAATAACTCATTTTATTACACATTACTATTTTTTAAATTCTAAATATCAAGAAAACTACTAAAGTTAGATATATGACATACTTATCATTAAGTAAAGGTAACTTGATGGGCAATTCAACCAGAACACAATATACAGATGTTCCATTTAAAATTGTGAAATTTTATGAAAAATTATGAAAAACCCATTTGAAAAACATCAAAAGTAATTAAGCTTTATGAACACGCTGTATAGCGTATCTAATATCTTTGGATACTATCATTTACCTACTGGCTTTGACTATTATCTGACATATATAATTTTTCAAGGCAAAATTGGAAAAAATGTCGTTTTTAAAAAGATGCTGCAATGGGCACATTTTTGAAAAACAATTGAATATCTTAAGAACTACGAACGCTATGAGTTAGTAACATATACGGCTGTATAAATAAATTTAATGCTATTCATAAAATGATAAATAAAGCTTGCATTTTTATGCAGTCAAATTATAGGAAATATGCGCATAAATATGCAAGCTTTTTATTCAAAATATGCAAAAAATATGCAAAAATATGTGGAAATATGCAAACATATACATTTCTTATAGTTGTTATCAATCTATTTCTATCACATTTTTGTATATGTTTTGCACTTTTCACATCTGGTTCTATTTATTTTCTTCCTCTCACACGTTATCTTAAAAAAGAATAATTAAAAAGTTAGCCATAGATACTCTAACAGATGAAAATTTAATTCTGAGACTATAAAACAGATTCGTACTTTTCATTGTAGATTGTCTAGATACATATGTAAAAACATATTTCAAGAAGATGGGACACCAAATTTAATATAGTTTTATTTAGTTGTAATTTAACAGTTTTCCATTTTTTTTTCATAGACTTTTACACTAGGAGTTAATAGTGTAAAAGTCTATCAGAAATACAATTTCGGAACAAACCATTGGCAACTCCTCTGAAAACTCTAATTTTTAACTTAAATCTTTGGCTAAAACGCTAAGTCATAATTTTAAAAAAATACTTACAACTTTGGCACAAGTTTTACAAAATAATTCCTCATTATTTAAATTTAGTTCGGGATAACTTTTTATCCACTGGGACACAAGACACGATATCACTTTAGGCATTGTTGTTATAGATTGGTAGATTAGTGTTCACTCACACTGAACACAGCCACAGTAACTATGGTTGGGGATTTCCTTAAACTTAAACTCAACAGCACTAGGGATTCCCCGCATGTTTCTGTAAATCGTTGCAAACTAAAAGGTATGTTCGCATATTTAAAAATCACGCAGTCATTATAATTATTTTAGTAAGCAACAAGAAACAAATATGCAGTAAAAGGCCAACTTATCAAAAAACAATCAAAAAAATTGTAAAAATGTGCAAAATATGCAATTTTTTATTGTACCATCTGCCTTATTTTTATGTAATTCGCCCAGAAACCAATTTTGAAAAAAATATTCCAGAAAATAAAGAAGATGCATTTTGCATAAAATCCGAGCCCTAATGATAAAATATAAAAGATTTTTTAGAAAAATCTACATACTCTCCGTTATGCCTAAATGGAACATCCTGTATAAGTGAAAATAATTTTACGTAATAGAAACTGGTGAGTCAAACAACTTTTGTATAAAACATTTATTACTTTTTAAAACGGTTTATCAACTATCGTCCGTCGGGATACTAATAATTAATAACACACCCTGTAGAGTGCATATATTCCGTCCTTTTTTTGTCACTTTTTTTTTGTTTTTTCTTTTTTGTTTGTCGGTCATTTATAAATCAGTAATATATTAAAATACAATTTACAAGAAATTTTAATAATTAAATAATCAAAACTTGATAAAAATACGAAAAATACAATTAAATGGCAAAACAATACATCCCTTTTTTAATTACTAACTTATTTGAAGGAAATGCAGCAACAAACTATAAATAATTACTAAACATTGCTCAGCAAGTAGGTATTAATTTAATTAATATTTAGAAGTTGTTCAAAATGCCGCCCATTTTCTCTTCTACCAGTATTAATGCGTTGTATAAAAGATCTTGAGGTATCTCTTAACATGTGCATCTTATTTTCTCTAAAGTTGTAAATTATATGGCAGAACAATTACATATTTCATTACTTACATCTTTTTAAAATCTCATAAAGTCGCATTAAAATCTGGTATATGGCAGCAAAATTATTTTACATTATAAAATATTAATCAAATAATAAAAGGAAGAACAAAAAAAAATGATAAACATAGACAAAATATTATATTAAGTACAATAACTCATATTTTATTACACATTACTATTTTTTAAATTCTAAATATCAAGAAAACTACTAAAGTTAGATATAGTAGAAACCACGAGAGCTGGCAGTGAGAGATCGCTTAAAAATGGTATGAATCAAGATATGGACGTACGACTTAGATTATTTCACCACATACATTTAAATGTAGGTTATGTTAGTAATGGAGGTTATATGTCAAACATTGTCAAAGATATTATTTAATGATTTTCCTTTCAAAGAAAACATTTTCGGCTTGTGAAAACACTAACAGATTCATGACAACGCTCACAAGACGTTTCGATTTGAGGTTATAATTATAGAGTGACATCCCTTAGAAGAACAGACGTACTTTTTCGACGTGGCCATTTGAATTGTACTGCAGACATATTAAACTAATGCTATCTCTTTCCAACACACATTACTCTCTAGCGGTTTGTGAACTACGTATGGCATTTGTAAGAGCGGAAAATGATGATTTACTGCCAGCTCTCGTGGCGTCTACTATATATGACATACTTATCATTAATTAAAGGTAACTTCATCAAAACACTAACCAACTTGACAAACAACTTAGAAAACAGTAGAAAAACAAATTGACGAAACGACTACTTAAATCCTAAAATATTTATTCATTTAAACTGCCAAGATAAAGTAGATATCTACATAATATAACGCAATATAATGCCATCTATTCCGTCGGCCCAATACTAAAAATGACGTCACTTTGTACGAACACGACGTTAATAAGTGCCAGGGGTATGGGTAACTTGATGGGCAATTCAACCAGCACACAATATACAGGTGTTCCATTTGAAAAACATATGAAAAAGCCATTTGAAAAACATCATAAGTAATTAAGCTTTATGAACACGCTGTATAGCGTATCTAATATCTTTGGATACTATACTCTGTTTTTAAACCAGGAGGAGTATTTTAAATTTGTCACCAGATTGACCTTGCACGTAATTGGTTGAATGCGAGGAAAGTTTACACACAGGCAATTGTTTGGTTATTGACAATTCGACAGTTTCGTGTCATTATTGTAAATTTTGTGTTCTTAAACCCTGCTTTATTATATTTTGAAATAAATACACTCATAACTTTAATGTTAATTTGTATGTTTAGTGTTGACGATAACAAACGAAAATAAATACAATAGGTTTGTTCCAACCAGCGGTTTGACTCGTCGTGGACTCGTCAAATGCAATCGCACAGTTAAATAATACAATGAAATCCGCTGAAATGTGACGGCATTACTTGACATGTGCGATTGCATTTGACGAGTTACGGATGAGTCCGACCGCTTGTTGGAACAAACCTAATAATAAGTAAATAAATAAATAATAATAATTATTAATTTAAATTTACCGCCAAAATATCTAGTGATATTTTCTGGTGATTTTTCCTAGTGTAAATCTGACTTTCGCGTTTACTCCTCCTGGTTTAAAAACAGAGTATAGTNTAATAATAATTATTAATTTAAATTTACCGCCAAAATATCTAGTGATATTTTCTGGTGATTTTTCCTAGTGTAAATCTGACTTTCGCGTTTACTCCTCCTGGTTTAAAAACAGAGTATATCATTTTTTACCATTTGGCTTTGACTATTATCTGACATAGTTTCAAGGCAAAATAGGAAAAAATGTCGTTTTTACATCGTTTTTAAAAATATGCTGCAATGGGCACATTTTGGAAAAACTTGGCACTATGAGTTAATAACATATACGGATGTATAAATAAATTTAATGCTATTCATAATATGATAAAATATAAAAGATTTTTTAGAAAAATCTATACTCTCCGTTTTGCCTAAATGGAACACCTGTGTAAGTGAAAATAATTTTATGCAATAGAAACTGGTGAGTCAAACAACTTTTGTTCTTTTGTATAGAACATTTTTTTTCTTTTTCAAACGGTTTATCAACTATCGTTCGTCGGGATACTAATAACTAATAACACATTCTGTAGAGTGCATATTAGTCCACAAAAAAAATTTAATCCGGCTCTGATTTTTCATATTCAAAATGGCGCAAGGTCGGTCAAATCACTCACGCGAATATCGGGAGTTACACTTCCGTGTCATTCCTATATTCTTATTCCGTTTAATGATAAATATATCATATCAGTAGAAAAACTAACATGGTAGCCGTCATTAAAAAGATATCGATAGCGAGAAGTTTTTAAAAACATTGTTGTTGAAAGAGAAGGAAAAAGATTGTGAGTGCGTCACATATTGTCAGAAATAACAAAGAAAATATTGAGTAAAGACCCCATACCTAGAAGACAGGGAAAGTATGAAACCATAACCTGTCTCCACCTGTTTTTCGAACTCTTCGAGGCAGCGATTTTTTTTATACGAAATCTAACCATGTCGGATAAAACCGTTATTAAGGGCAACCCGTCCGAATATGTAAAGTTAAATGTGGGCGGTTGTCTTTATTACACTACAATTGGTACTTTAACTAAACATGATACAATGCTTAGAGCTATGTTTAGTGGAAGAATGGAAGTTTTAACCGATTCAGATGGTACATATTTAAAGCAAGATTAAAATAATTCATAATAACAAAAGATTCTTTTTTAGGATGGATATTAATTGATAGATCAGGAAAACATTTTGGAACAATTTTAAATTTTTTAAGAGATGGAACTGTAACATTACCAGAAACTAGTAAAGAGCTTGCAGAATTACTAGCCGAAGCAAAATATTATTGCATAGCTGAATTATCAGAGCCGTGTAATCAAGCTTTACAAAAACGAAAAGAACGCGAAGCAGAACCAATATGCAAAGTTCCATTAATAACATCCCAAAAAGAAGAGGAAATGTTAATAAGTTCAACCACAAAACCTGCAATTAAACTTTTAATAAACAGGCACAATAATAAATATTCTTATACTAGCACATCTGATGATAATCTTTTAAAAAACATTGAGTTATTCGATAAATTATCTTTGTGGTATAGCAAAAGGGTACTTTTCATAAAAGATGTTATTAGTACGAGCGAAATTTGTTGTTGGGTGTTTTATGGACATGGAAAAAAAATGTCTGAGGTTTGTTGCACATCTATTGTTTATGCAACAGATAAAAAGCACACAAAAGTTGAGTGTCCAGAAGCGAGAATTTTTGAAGAAACACTTAATATCTTATTGTATGAAAGTAGAAGCCCCCCCGATCAAGAATTGATGCAAGCTATGGCTAGAGGGGCTGTCTCGGTGATGTCGTCTTATACAAGTGATGAAGAAGAAGAGAGGTCTGTAGAAAGAATGCGGACTAATAAAAATAGTCAAACTTAAATATATTGAGGTAAAATTATATGGGTGTGTTAAATGTATAGAAATATTAATAATAAATGAAAAGAAAGTAGTAAAAATTATTAGGTTAAAGAAAAAAGAAATTATAAAAAATGATTTTAATTTATCTTTGAGTTCATACAAAAAGAATAATAACAGTATTATAAAAATTTCCATTTTTTTTTCTTATTATTTGTTTCAATATAATTTAACCACCCTTCTTTTTACTTTTAATATAATTTAACCCATTATTCCTTATTTATTCACTTCCTGTATCGTACGCATCAATTTTTAAAGTGTCATAACCTGTAATATATGGAAATTTTTCATAATAACTATATATTAAAGTTAAATTATAATTTGTTTGCTTATTATGAAACCGGATAATATATCATAATAAGAGGTATGGTTATATTGATCATCAACTTTATTTGTGTTATCCAATTCTAAACCAATTACTTTTTATATTGTACTTTCAAGATTTAAATAAAATATACACAAACACTCATTTTTATTTATTTATAATATATCCAAATTAAAAAATCATTTTTAAATATTTACAGGGCCCCAAAATTGAGATACAACCACTAACAAGTAACACTAGGGAAGTGCCATACAGCGATTTTCTTGTAACTTGGCATACAAGTCAGGGCTGGATTAACCAGTAGGCGCGCGCCTCAGGGTTCTGCACCTACAGGGGCCCGGTTCTGGTTTGATATTGCATAAGCTTCGTCCAATAAGAAAATCAAGAAATTAAACATGTAAAGGTTATTATTTCTTAAAATTGCTGAAAAAAATGTTTCAAATAACCCCTTTTGATTGTACTTGTTAATTGATTTATGAAGAAACAAATGAAAATAAAATACTATTTTTCTGCGAGACTCTTATATGCGAGTTCAAACTCGCTCAAACTGTACTCTCATTCAGTCTAGACGTCGCAGTCGCCTATAATGTTAAGTGCGGGAAGTTAGCCCCCCATTTTTGATTTTTATTTTTAAATTTTTTATTGTTCTAGAGTTGTTCTACATTGTTCCAAAGCGGCAAATCGAAAAAATA